TTATTTGACTAAAATCGACCAATTTGCTATTACTGTTTGGAATATATATATATCAGATCTGCATATTCTGAGATTTTTATAGTCGCAGCTACCATCGTCTGGCCGTTATAGGCGCTATTTCAAATTTATAAAAATTTACCGGGAGCACTGGTAAAATTCAATATTCAATTTTTCTCGAAAGCAGAAGAGTTTTAGGGGCTAACATTTTTAGTGCTTATAATACATCCGTAGGGGCATCCAAATATATCAAAATTGTAAAGAATCACTATCCAGCCAATTTTCAAAATTTACCAACACTTTGTAATACCTTTAAAACTGTTACATGTACATGTAATACACAGGTGTACATACATGTATGTAAATGTTCTATTAAAGTGAATGAATTTTGAAAAGTCTCAGAACATGATCATGCAGGACTACGCTATACCAGCTATAGAGCTAACAGGGATCACAAACTTACATGTACATGGACCATCAAAATAAAGACTAGGGTCAGAAGTTTGCTCCCCAGTGGGATCATAATTTTGACCTTGTACACCCCCTGTAGTTCATCTACAACCGCTGGGTGTGGTGATGACAAGTGGAATGGTATTGGAACTAAGTAGCCTGGTAGGAACATGTACCCTGTACTTCATTTTTGGCATACTTAATAGCGTGAGAGTGTTGCTGTGCTTTTGTTTTGGTGTTTGGACTGATACTCCCCCTTGGGCTTGGGGTACATGTCACTGGGAAGAGGCGTGTCACTCAATGTCATCCTTATCATCATCTGCTGGGATGGATGTTGATTTGGGTATGGATATGTCCATGTTTTGGGTAAGTGATAATGTTTAGACTAAAAACAGGAAGAAAGTATTCCTTTCATCATGTTTACTGCTTGTCATGTTTACTTGTTCGTATATTTACTTTTGAGTGCTGACTATGACTAATATATGTACATTTTTGTGAACACATGCTATCTCCTGTCTACACTGTACTAGACTTTTAAGTGGTTTTACCAGACACAATCCCTGGTTTTTCAAAGGCAGGACAAGTGTGACTATGAATATTACCGGTAGTCTATTCAAGGAGTACAATGTGTAACTCTTTGGTATATTGTGGCAATCTTTTTGAGAGTAATTTATGTAGACTGCCACTGCCATTCTCTAACTTTGTGAGCAGAAATCTAGACTTTCTTTTACAAATGTGCAGTATTGAACACTGCTTTGATTCATTGATGTCTAAGGTTTTGAATTGTAATAGCATGATTCTCATTGAAATTGAATTCCCTATTATATGAGCTCTTTCACCCGAGGCAAGATATTTTCATAGGGTACTGTCAGCCTTGCCTTGCACGATAGGACAATACCTTATTTATCCAGACAATGCAGAAATATTGTTACAAATGAATCTGGATTTAGAATTGCCTGATACTTGTATGCACTTGTACATGTAGCATCTAAATATGGAAGACAAGTGTTGGGTCAGCTGAAGTTATGAACTTTTGAGTACACTACCGTGTGAGTCAAAAAAAAGTTTACACCTAGAAAATTGCTGATTATTCTAAAAATCATCTTATGAAAGTGAGTGTTTTATCCCAAATCATTTGGTACCATTTTTGTGTGGTATGTGTTCACGCTTGGATGAACAGGTGGCATTGTTTGCAAGAGTGCAAAAATCGACTTGCGCCAAAGTGATGCCTTCAGTATGTATTATGTTGGGATTAGTGGAGTGAGAGAATGGATTGAATGTATCAATTGAAATGCATTGCATATGTGTTTTTGCAAAGGGCAAAGTCACACACCTCCACACACACGCCCATAAATGTTCCTTGATATTTGATATTCGATATTTGATATGTGTGGCATGAGGTGTTATTGGATGTGCAAAGACCGAATTAATACCCAAATCCCAATCGTTTTATTCAAACATCACTACATGTAGGCAACTTTGGCGCAAGTCGATTTTTGCACTCTCGCAAACAATGCCTCCTGTTCACCCAAGTGTGAACACATACCACACAAAAATGATACTGAATGATTTGGGATAAAACACTCTTTCATAAGATGTATAATAATTTACTGTTCACAGATGATTTATAAAATAATTAGCAATTTTCTAGGTGTAAACTTTTTTTTGACTCACTCTGTATATACATGTAATGTACAAAATAGGGCCTACAGCTGCTCATACATGTACATGTACTGTACATGCTTTCTGGTGTATCATTGGTGTATATTATATTACTCGTTCACCATATTTTTTTAAACGCATTTCACAAAATGAAGGAGGTTTTATGTACTGTATGTACATGTACATGTACTGTATATTATGCTTTTCAAAAATTAACTTTATTTTCACTGAAATTGAAGTTGTTGTGTACATATCTGAACTGCTGATGATGTACATGTACTGTACATTTCTTGTACTCATTTGGAAAACATCCTTGGAAGAAGAAATCTTGACATTTACACAGCTGTTTCTTCCAGCTCAGAGCGTGATCCCTAAATGCAGGGCTAAGATGGATTTAACCCAAATATCGTCTGCACTTGAAATATTGGGGAGATGTTGAGGCTCTTTTGTCATGAAAAGAGAACCACCGTAGTCATTTTCAGGATGTTAAAAATAAAATGAATGTGAAGCATGCTGTATTGTTGTCAGGCTTTGGTCTGATTGGCCTGTACTATATTATTCAAGATATATCCTGTCATTTTACAATATGGCAGAGCTGCCAACCTGTATGATTTAATAGTATTTTGTACAAATTTTAGAAGTAAATACATGTACAGTACATGTACAGTACAATAGTACGATTTTCCAAAACAAAAAAAAAGATTTTTATTATGGTTACATTTACATGTTGGCTACATATTGCACCGAAGCTATAAAAGGCGCTAGATGCTCATGGAATATGATCAGCTCTTTCTTTTTTTCTCTCTGTACTATTGTATATTCAGACTTTACCTAAAGATATCAGAACATGTAAAAGAGTGCTTATTATAATCTGTAGATCCTCCCTGTAATGCTGTGTCAGATTATACCTGCAGTCGTTAATTAATTTGTGGGAGTAAATCTATAAATCTAATTGGTCTTGTCTTGGATTTAAAACAAGATTTAGTCATGAAGTTACTCAGTATCGGCTGCTCGAATTTCATATTTCATGTTATGATAGACATGTTATACTGCAATAATGTTGATTTATGATAGGAGGGGCTCGTGTTTAATCAATCTTGTTTTTGGATCAGCGAGTTTAGCAATATCAGCCACTGAATTGCTCCATGTTTGAATTTCAGATTTCAGGTTTGGTAGTGAACAGTATTACTTCGAATAAAGTACCGTAGACACATTACCACCAAGTCACACCATACATGTAGTCTATGGAATAATAATGCAGTCACGCATGACACAGTGTGAGAGTGTCTTACTTTATTTCAAGCAGTACTGTATTTACTACAATAATGTTAATGATTCATGACAGAAAGATTAATGATTATTAACTTGCTGTATTTCTCTGTCCATTGTCAAGATAATGCTGCATGTAAGTGCTATTGTAAATCACAGCATTTTCAATCAGAATTAAGTAAATTTAGGGGGCACAATCACGGACATCAATTTTCTTTCAAGGCCTTCATACAGAGCTGACAAGCATAACATTTTCCCCGGAATTTTTGTGTTTTTTTCTCATAATTGCGGTACAGTTTAGTACGTTTTTATGCCTCCGCCACCGAAGGTGGTGCCGGAGGCATCATGTTTTCGGGTTGTCTGTCCGTACGTCCGTCCCGTTTGACCGTTATCACAATATCTCAAGAACCATTTAAGATTTAAACTTAAGACTCGGGAATAGTATTTATCACTATAGGAAAACGATCTGATTAGATTTTGGAGTACGTAGGTCAAAGGTCACAGGTCACAGAGGTCAACTTATGAAATTCCTTGTATTGAGTTTGTTAGCGCGATATCTCAAGAACCATTTGAGATTTAAACTTCAACCTTAAGGATAGTATGTATCACCATAGGAAGACGATCTGATTAGATTTTGGAGCACGTATGTCAAAGGTCAAGGGTCACAGAGGTCAACTTATGAAATTCCATACATTGAGATTGTTATCATGATATCTCAAGAACCACTGGAGATTTAAACTTCAAACTTAGTGATAGTGTGTATCACTATAGGAAAACAATCTGATTACATTTTGGAGCATGTAGGTCAAAGGTCAAGGGTCATAGAGGTCAACTTATGAAATCCCATACATTGAGATTGTTATCATGATATCTCAAGAACCACTGGAGATTTAAACTTCAAACTTAGTGATAGTGTGTATCACTATAGGAAAACAATCTGATTACATTTTGGAGCACGTAGGTCAAAGGTCAAGGGTCATAGAGGTCAACTTATGAAATTCCATACATTGAGCGGAGGCATCATTTTCGACTGCGCGCAGTCAAAATTCCATCTAGTTTCTTCATAAAATACTTTTTTTCTAAATTTTTCTTTTTGTTTGTTTTTGTGTGCACATACCGCACGTCAGTCAAATGCCCTAAACTGTTGATCACTACAGTACTGTAATAGAGATTTTCAATAGAGATTTGTGATTTACAAAGAGTAAAACAAAAAAAGTGAAAGGCATAAATATTTTCAAAAAGAATGAAATGCCAATATTACCAAAAAAATATCATAAAAATTTAAAAAAGAATGAAATGCCAACAAAATATCATAGACATTTCTGCATTGGTTGGAAGTTTTGTTTGGATGAATTCCCTTTTTTTGCCATCATGGTCCCTTTTTTTTTGGTTGCACGAGGTTGGCAGCTCTGTTCATATGCTTAATATATATGTTTGAAAACTTTCTACAGGAAATATAAAGAAATATATGTTGCTTTAGAAAATGAAATGGATGGCGTAGGAGCTTCTACAATTCATTCATATTCATATTCATATTCATATTTACACCATTGTTTCATTTGTTTGATTGAAAATCGAAATTAATCCTATTTCATTTTTTTACTTTCATCTTTTGTATGCAGGTGGGTCCATTCACAGCAGTATAGATGTGATGTCCCAGGCATCTGATGACCACCATTCAGCTATAGCATCATCAGTGATATCTTCAAGAGGAAGCTTCTCAGGATCCCATGACAACATCTCCAGCTCCAGGGAGTACATGCCATTAGAATCATCGTCCTCGTCTCCCAAGCCGGGAAATGTTACCCCTAACTCAGAAGGGTGGGTCAAGTTTGGAGACTCCAGGAAAGTTGTAAGTTCAACCCCGCTGAAGAGTGTGGTCCCAGAGAAGGGGATCAAAGAAAACGGTAGTCTGGATAACTCAAGAGTGTCCAGTCCTGCCCCTGTAAATTGGGTGCAGTTTGAGGACGACCATGATGTGACTTTGTCCTCAACGTCCTCAAGACCATCACCTATCTTGTCATCGTGTGACGACTCTATCACTCGTGAATCTCCATTAGAGGATCTCAGTGCAAGGAGCAATAGCAGACCTCTTGAGATCCCCAAAAAGGTCAATCAAAATGTTATTCCTGGTCATACGCAAGTGGAGAAACTGAAACAGGGAGATGTAAGATCAGGGATTAACCTTAATTCTTCCAGGACAGTTACAGCCAGTTCAACTCCTATACACATGTCAGACCATGCAAATGACTTAGAAGTGTCCAGGTTTTCTGAAGTAGCTACTGGGCCAGAGACAAATTACGATACAGCAACTCCAGGAAACCCCTTCAAGGCAGACATGTTGACTCTAGAGCAGTTGGAGAAACAGAAAGCCATGGTTGAACAGGCTTGGAGGACTGTCTCTCCCTTCAACCCTTTCCTCAACATGGGAGGTTTACAGTTAGCAAGCACACCTGTGAAATCTAATGCACAGCCCATATGGACAACCTTTGATGAAAAAGATGGTGCTTCAGCAAATACTCAGATAGTATCCAGCAGTCCAGGGAATCCATTTGCAGGCATGGCAGCAGCTTCTAATGTGCATAACAGATCTAATATGGCTGCGACATTCAACCCTCAGCAGCAAGCACAGGGACAAGTGATCTTTGCAGCTGCTGCAGCTGCACAACAAAGTGCAGCAGCAACTCAACAAAGTGTAGCAGCTTCACAACCAGCGAAGCAAGTTATGGCAGTACAACCATTGATGCAGTCCAGTGGTGTTCAACCTGGAGACCAACGGACAGCAGCTATTCTTTTACCCAGTGCCTACGCATCTCAGCCCATCAGTCCGATTGGTATGAAACCAAACCAGTGGCAGCAGCAACAACAACAACAGTTTTTCCCGTCAACATATTCTTCATCGCATCTGAACATTCCTCCAGGCAAGCAGACATTGGCAGCCATTGTTTCACCTACAACAACATCAACTACAGAAGGAAGTGATATGCCCGACAGTGGCAAACTACCTTTTAACACCCAGACAAGCATCAAGTCAAATTTGTCCTCTCCTAGGAGTGACAAGCTGTTTCAGGATCAGTACCCTCGTGAACATATGGATCTATCAGAAGGATGGCCTCTAAAATTCAGAGTACCTGATAAGAAACGAATAGCAGGCTCGCGTACATGGCAACCTATCTATGTGAGGCTTTCTGAAGGAAACATCCTCCAGTTGTTTCACGACAGGACTAGAAAGGAACCGTTCAGGGAACTTCCCTTGCAGAGCAACTATGAGATAGGCCGTCCAAATCTTCAGCAGTATGATGCAAAGGGTAAAATTCATACAGTCAAACTGCTGTACATGTCCTACAAAGAAAAGAGGAAAGTCAGTGCCAAGGCAATGTATGACAAAGGAGTTAGCCTTGAAGAGCTTATGAAGCTTGGCTCACTTGACTTTAAAGTGTACCAGAGCTTTGTGTTTACTATCAATGATGCCTTGATGAAATTGACTCTCTACCAGGATAGGGGTGCCCACTACCAACAGGATATGATCAAAGTGGTTGTTTCTGACGAATGCCGCTGCCTTGTCAATGGCAATGGAGATGTTGTGCGGCAATCCATTTCTGTTGACCTTAATGTCTTATCTTTTCTCTCTGGGAGTCCTGACTGTGCAATAGGCCTGAACGATGTCCAGATCAAAGGTTTGGATGTTGTGGCCAGACAACACATCATCCCCAACAAAACATCAGATTGGATCAAGATGCATAACGTAGAACTTCACAAATGTGCAAATAAAAATGTGTTCGTGGACTCTCGAATGATCGAGTTTCAACCGTTGAATGCCTGTCACTTTAGGCTCATGCAGTTTCACATACAGCCTTCAGAAGAAGAGGACTTACCCCTCCAGGTCAGAGCTGCTTTCTCAGGTGAAGGTACACACATGGAACTCAGGGTGGATCTGCTGGTACCAGGTAATATAATTTTACTCCTCCATAGGCATAGGGCATCTATACAATTGCAGTTGATCCAAATCAATCTCAAGTCCTCCAATCAATCACAAGTTTGCAGTCTCCTATCTTGTACATATATGGTTGCGATTGATGTCAATCACAGATAAGTAGCAATTAATATCAACTCTTTATAAGACAGGGGCCCAGAACTGGATTCTGAGTCATTTAAGATTCACTGCTTGTGTTTTGAATTTCAGTGCTTTCCAATTTTTGTAATCCTTCAGTAAGTTGTAACATGTTATCTTTTCATATGCCCTCATCTGTGTCTTTCAGCCTGCACCGGCAAGCGGAATCCGAGCCATTACCAGTGTGAGAACATCCTTGTTCACATTCCTGTCCCGGACCATTGGGTCTCTTACTTCAGGAAACCCAAGCGGATGGGGCAGTCCTCGATCCATGCAGTCATCAAGAGGCCAGATCTTATCAAGAGAGGTAAATATATTTAATATTGCTGATTTAGGAATTCTCAAAAGTTGTAAGTTCAACTTGAGCTTTGGCTGAGATGAAAAATGAAAAAAAAAGAATTTCATTACCAGACGTCTTTTTGTCGTTGTTGGAAACTGCTGGAAGGTAAATTGCTGAAAGGTAAAAACGCAATCCAATGCATACATACAGTATGATTATTTAATAGTGTACACTCATATTGGATTTAAAAAAAAAAAAGTGAAATTCACAACGGTAAATCATTCCAACAGTAGGAGAAAGTTGCTTATACAATCATGTAGATCTAATTGTCCTATCAACCACAGTGAAAAACAATTTGATCAAAAACCTGCTGAAAGAACCAAGTGTACAATTTAAGCAGATAATTTGCAGTTCTTTATTCTTTAGAATTAAACAAGGCATGCTTTATAGCCATACAAGATGATATCCAGGATTCATTTCTCATCTGACTACATCTTACATGACAGTGAAAAAACAAATCATTCACGAAAAAACAAAAACAGGAAGGATGCTAATCTTTTATTCTCCAGATTCATTTCAACTTCCTCGAACGGGATGGATCTCAATTTGCACTGAATATACATGTAGAGTCAACATGCCTTCAACTTCATACTTTGTATTAATACCAGAAAGCATACATCAGTACATGTTCCTTCATAACTACAGTATGCTTTGACTTTGATGATAAAGCAGAAAATAATTGTTGTAATCATTTCTTTATTTGCAAGGAAAGTACAGCAATATATACACAAATTTTCACTATTACAATTGTTAATTATGAACCTATCCGGGTTGAAGGCAGGTTGTAAACAATTAAATGAAATTTGAAAGAAATCAATATAGTAAATTAATCATTGAATTCAGATCACCATAAAATGACACCTGTATGTAAAATATTGCTCAAGGGCATCAAGAAAATAATTCTGTGTTAACAGGTGGTCTTTACATGCAGGCTTTAACCTTTTCAGGAAAGGGATTTTTCAGGGCTTAATTGGTCACATCTTTTTCTTTTAATGCTAAATTGCTCTTGTTTATGAGAACATACATACAAGTATGGTCCCAACAGTAGTATAAAGAAATACAAATACATTTTTTAAAACCTAACATCCTGAATCACCAAGGTTTCTATGGGGGCTACTGATGCCAACAGATATGCAATATAATCCTTCCACACCCCTCCAGCTGTGTGACAAATTATTGATATCTAGTTTAAGTATGACTACATGGACTACACCTGTAGATTCCAGGTGTTGTTGTATTGCCATAGCAACACTCTTAGTCTTTGTGACAGCTTCATGTGAAAAGGGATGTCCTGCCCTGGATGTGATTTCTAATTTACTATTGTAACTATTGTAAAAAGGCTGCTCATTGAAAACAACAAAAATATCCATAACGAACAGGTTGTTAAACATTATTCTTTCTCTTTTTTTTTAGGGGGGGGGGGGGAAGAGGGTACATGAGTAAAAGAAAATTAAAGATAGAGTTTACAAGAAATTTCTGTCTTTTGTGAAATATTTATGATATCCACTGTGTTTTCGTGCATAAATATACCTGTATATGTTTTATAAATATCAGTAGTGGACTAGTGGACACTTTATTCAAATTACCTGATTGGTCTGGCTCAAATGCGTTGAGAATTTAGATGAATAGTTTAGTCACCATTATAATTACTTTTTAATGTCTGTAAAATGCCTTTTCTTGGTGTGTTTCATGACTTTCATCATTATCTCTTTCTTCTAAAAAGAGGGAAGGTAAAATTGTTGTTCACATTTTATGTATAAGACAGTTGCAAGCAGTTTGCACCTAAACAAACGTATTATACATGCACATTCAAAATATTATGCAGCATAGTATCTCCCTGCACAAAACCAGGCACCCTAGAAATCATTCTGTAGCCATCAAAGAAATGCAATCAGTAATATAAATTGATATTATTTGTTTGCCTCTTTGAGTTTCCCATACTCCTTCCTGGTATAGGCACCAGATTGATTGATCGTTAAAATGACAGAGCTCAAGGGCGGTTCCTGTTGTCACAGTGGCTTTGAATAGAATCTCAGATCGTCTCCCTCTCTTCTTTTGCTCGTATCCATGGAAACATGACGACAGTTTGCTCCGTGGCAGACTCAATATCACTTCATTTCATCTGCCTTTCACACCTATCAATTAGCTTTCTTGATATTATGATTAGAGGTCATAATTGCATCATAATATCATTAACTGCTTTATAAACCACAATTTATATCACTCCATGGGATGGGATACTATAGCATTGTGAAATGTGTGAAATTGTTCTTTGGTTCATTTTGTTGTTGGTTGTCAGTCAATTTGTTGCCACCAACATGGTACAAAGTAGAAACGCATGCTAGTTTTTTAGACATTAAATATGCATTTACAGCGCCACATATTCTGCTGAATGCGAAAGAAGTTCAATTGTTCTCATATGATCTTTGACTACAATGCTATCATGTGAAAGATATAAACGGATAATAAACATAGCTTTTATATTGTCATAAATTTATACAGGATGTATGTGTCTCTAGGATAATATACAATGCCGTTAAGATAAATTCTCATGAAAAATCATGCAAAACCTTCTTAAATTTCCTAGAGTACAAGTACGTGATATTTGTCTCTACAGAATTGGTAGAAAGGGATAGGCTGAGTAGTAAGCAATTGGAACATCTAGGAACAAAAAGGTAAATGTAAAGAGTAGGCTTGCACGTGCATACATGTAGCAGTTAGCACACAATCTCATATCAGCAGCTACGAATGAGTGACAGCTATGTTCTCTGAATGGTGTTTTGCTAGATTGTCATACTTACAAATGCATTTTTAGACAATTTATACCAGGTTAATCCAATACAAAAAATTAAAATCAAATCAAATTCCATCATCAGAATTCAAATAAGCTTTAAACAGGGAGTATATCTACATGTTATGATCACCTCAATAACCTCCTACCTTATGCGCTCATGTATTCTATTTGATCTACAGGCAATACAACAGGATATTGCAATATGGCATGGGTGGCGCCTTTGTTATAATGTCTACCCACTTTATTGTTCAAATGTTGACAATAATTTAGATCAAGGAGATAATAATATTTTCTTTACCCAGTGCAGATCATTAAGTTTATTCTGAATGTGACGCATTATTGCACATTCTCTAGGGCAGTCCAGTATTCACTTGATTGTGTTGTAGAGATAAAGGAAATTAGAAGTAATGCCCGGAAATCGCTTCATAAATTACCAAGGAACTGAATTTCAAGTGCACTTTCCTGTTATTTCCTTTTTGCAGTTTAGCCTCGACTGAGTAGTACCAGTAATCAACCCAGTTACCTCACTGAAATTATATGATTGACTTGTATTGAGTGTATTGGATGGTTCATTTGAAGTAATGTGAGAGGATGGGGGAAAAAAAGGGAAGAATGATGCAGACTTGAAGGAAGATGGAATAAACAGTTCTTGTGTGTTTTTTTGTGGGGGGGGGGGGGGAGAAATTATCAACAAGAACTACTGTATTTTTATGCCAAACTTGATCTGGATAAAGTTTAGGAATTGGCCATCAGCAACCATCAATTTCATGCATTAAACATTACAAACAAATTGATATCAGGCCACTTTATATACTTTTATATACATGTATATATACAATGTATATATATATATATATATATATATATATATGTATTTATTTTTTTAGGGGGGGGGGGCAATATTACCCTGAGCCCCCTCCCCCATCTGTGCATTTGTAATGAAAGCAGCCCCTTTCTTCACATGACTGATCTAAAGATGGAGACATCTGTTCATGATTTTCAACCGTGAAGTCACATGGGGATGAAGTTTTTGAAAAACAAGGCAGGAAGAATGTATTTTAATGTATCCTGAATCGTGTGTGGTCTCATGCAGTCAGACCTAATCATCATTAATCAAGTGGGAAAAGTGATATAATATTTTGTGCAAGAACTGTAGCCATGATAAAATAAGTAATTTAATTGTACTTGTGAGGATGCGGTATTGTAGTACATTGTGGAGCAAAATATGGCACAGTATACATGTAAGTATAACAGGTTTGGGCATTGTTTAGCGCTTTTAGAGACTTCGGTGGTAAGCGCTATATAAGCTCTGTTTTTTATTTTTTATTTTTTGTTTGTTTTTTGTTTCAAACCAAAACCTGATAAAGTATCAGGCTTGACTTCTCATGAACTTACAGAGAATTGTACTAAACTGCACAATTCCTATAAATCATCAAGATTTCCTATAAAGGAGGTACATACATGTATGTATCCCATTTTAAGCCTATTTCACCAAATGCTCATCATATGTGTTTCTTCATACAGATGTAACAAATTTTCCTCTGTCATGAATTGTTTTTACCTTTAATGTATCTCCCATCACAAACACAAAAAGAGACTGAATCACAAAAGTATGCCATGTTGTTTGGCCGTGGGTCAAAACAACGACAGTGATCTACAGATCACGTCTGCTCAATATTGGACTAAATATCAAGTGATGTCATTTGATCTACCCAAGTACCAGTAATCTAGTCTGCCTGCAACTTTTCATCTCTTTCTATTCTATGTTTTCAAATGGCAAAGATTAATAGAGCGAAGAGTAGAACATACGTGTACATGTAGGTTTACAGTACAAAGGGTATATTAGCTTTTCCTCATGGATTTCAAAACATGCCCTTTACAGGGGTCTTCTTTCCTGCTTTCGAAAGGAATGGTTGTATGGCATTTGTCCCTGCAACAATTGCTCTTGGAAGATATCCTATGGCAGATCCAGGATTCGAAAGAAGGGAGGGGGGGGGGTAGGGGGTAGAGTGCCTACATGTACCATGCTGAGCTTTACTCTTGCAGGAACTGGACAGAAATGGAACGAGAGGTGCAAGGAAAATATAAATTCTTATATTCTTAGGAATGGAGGAAATGTAGAGGGGCATGTTGCTCCTGCGCCCCTCTTAGAATCCATCTGTGATCTTCTTATAATGATCAGGAAGTAAAATACAACATTAATTTGGATAAGACAGTGCATAATTTAAAAACAATTTTACTTATGATGTAATGTGTTTAATATTGAAAACCACAGATTACACTGTAGATGAAATGGGGTCATTCTGTCTATCATTGTTCATTTGAATCTGCTCGGTTCTTGAACTTGATATCTGTTTTATACCAGTAAATGAAGATTATTAAGATCATAAAAGCCCCTTTTAAAGTGTACACTACACGTTGTACATGACACTGTACTGGCAATGTACAGTCTTTTCTTTCTCCCCTCTCCCTTTTTCTCTGTCTCTATCTTTCTCTGTCTCTGTCTCTCTCTCTTTTTGTTTTCCCTTTCTCTTTATACCCCTCCTTTATCTCTTTCTATGTATCTGAATTACCTTCTCTCCCTCTCTTTCATTCTATCCACAATCCCCCTTCTTATTTTATAATTCACCCTCGCTCTCTCATTTCTCTCTTCATTTTTATCACTCATATCCGTGACCATCATGACTTGCCGACTACAGTAACTAGTGCTGTTCTTGTATCACCTTAGTATAAAAGAATGATTAAAGAAAAAAAAGAAGACAGAAATGAGTGATGTACAACTATATTGCTCTCCAGCGGTGTTCATCTCATCAGACTAATTGTCAAATGCTCACTGGTGTGCAAACACACCCTGCAGGGTGACATCAAATGTAATATTTTGCAGTGGCCACTATATCAACACGTTTTAAGAAACCCCTACTGTTGTACATGCAGAGAGAGAGATGTCAACTGTAACAATTAACACGAATGGTGTTGTTGTATATCATCATTAAAAGTATATACCAACAGTATTTGTAAAACTCCCACTGCTTTGACAGGGTGATTGACTGTATCATTTCTAAATATAAAAAGAAAGAAAGAACTGAACTCTTACTGCTGAATGCCCAAAGAGCTTCAGTGTATCATGCAGCAAATTCGTGAAAGCTCCACTTCTGGCTGTATATATACATGTACATATACATGTAGTGGCATACATGTAGCTCTGGGAATGGGGAATGGGAGGCAACAGGGGGAACTTTGAACAGAAAACAACAAAAGTGTTATACAAATATAAAGTTGCCTATCTTTAGAGATGGGATGCATACACAGTATCTCTTCCCAGACTGTCCCGCGGTCAGATGCCCCTCCCCCAAAATTGTACTGTGCTACCGACTACCGAGTAATATCAACTGCAAGTGCTGTTCATGTATTGACACATGTATAGTAGGATAGTTTACAAATTTCCACTGATGTACACTGTACATGTACAATGTATAGATTGGCATCAACTTTGACATTTTCCAGTAAATTTGTTGGTGTAATGCCTCAAAGCAGGATGTCTTGAACAATCTTATCCTTCTACCAATATCTCTCCTTGATCCAGCTCAATATAAGCTTGCATACTAATCAGAGGCACACCATCATAACCCATCGATCTCTTCACCAATATACTAGGAAGTATGAGAAATCATATTTGGCAAAGTGATTAAGATTGTGATGAATGCATTAAAGAATTGTATTCATCCTGTAAGAATTTTACTGCCAACTCTTTTGAGAAATTAGATACATTCATATAATCTCAGATTTAATTATAGCCAGTATGTAGCTTGTTTTGATTGAGGGTTTTCTGAGATTTTTATGTTCAATTTATCATTTCCAAGAGTCTGTTGAAGTGTAGGTTCAAAATACTATTTCACAGTAAGTCAAGGAAGTGTTGGGATTGATTCTTTTTACTATCAGGAAATAGATGATTTATACTGCTGTATGGCAAATTTCCCAATCGAAATCCCTATTGGAAGCCCCTTTTAATTTTATGTTCAGAAAAAATTGTTATTGCACCACATCCGCATTAAGCCTCTATGATCATGCAATTCTACCTTAGTCAGAATTATAAAATGGAATCTGGATGCCGACTGCTATTGAAATGCATCCGTTTTTAATGAAGGATCTTCTTCATTCAGAAGTTTCTTACTTTCTTACCCATGATTAGGGCTGATACTTTGCTTCCTGATGTTGCTGTTGAAAGCAACATTTGGGAGTTTGGCATCGCATTTGAAAATGAATCACATTCCAAACTTATGCGCCCTAATCAATTGAGACTAGGGGTAATTTCAAGTTCTAACCATGAAGCTGTATCTCAAATGAAGCTTTCTAAGATCAACCAGCATTGTTGATAATTGTTATTGAAATCTAGAATCAGGGAATTTCCCTCATTGTATCTTCATATTTGAAAATCGCTAGATGCTGTACATGATAGTCATTTACTGCATCATAGTGCATCATAATAATGTACTGCAATCATTCTTTACATGTAGATCTGTAAACAAAAAATCATCATTTCATATAAACTTGAGAGTGCAAATTATTTTTACCCATATTTTGTTTGTGGTCAGCTCAAAACATTTAATTTCTGGAATAGTTATGACATTTTTATCATTTTGATTTTGATTTGTGATTTTCAAAATAATAAACAAAAGATGTATGCATTGTTATTTAGAAGAATTGATACCAAGAACACAAACCTTCAGAACAGTATGCTAGGAGTGAAATAGGGGGGGGGGGGTGGACTTTGGTACCATTTCCAATAATTTTGGGCCTGATATGTTATTTAAATTTCATGAATCTGTATGATTTGAGTTGTTTTGTTTCATTTTGTGAGTTATTTCTCTTCTTAATGTTTTGACTTTTTAGTTTTTATTTGCTTTTACTATTTTAAAGAAGGGAGGGGGAGGGAATCAATGCTACAATACAAATTAATTTGGTTAATCACTAGTCCTTGTCTTTGTTTTATACAATTTTTTTTAATGACAGGTTGCCTTAATCCAAAGATCCTGGAGATCTCTGTCGGGACTGCCAAGTATGAACATGCCTACAGAGCTGTGATGTGGAGGATAGACAGACTACCAGAGAGAACCACAGGTATGTAAATAAATTAAGTCTGGTGACTACCAAGTATGAACATGCCCGGTGAGTTGTGATGTGCAGAATAAACACACTACATTTTGATGATTTTGCACCAGAGAGAACCACAAGTAAATGATGTGGTGTGAGGACCAGACAAGGGACATGATTGACAGAATAGCAATGAATACAGACATACTAAAACTCTTCATCATGCACTCATCAGAGCAAAATTGCAAGACTGAACAGAAAGCTGAAATCAGACAATCTATTACAGTGGAAGCAGAAGGAAAAAAGTTCACAAAAATAACATGGTTCTTTCTGTTCATTCTTGCGATTTACTCTGATGAGTGCAAGATGACGAGCTTTAGAAACGGAATAGTTGGATAACTGTCAAGTATGAACATGCCTACCAAGATATGGTGCAGCTAGGGGTTGACAGGCTCTCATAGAGAACCACAGGTAAATGATATACATTACATATACATGTACATAATGATACAGTCAGGTGATTACATGTATGAACATGGCATCAAGTTGTGGTTTGGAGTCTAGAGAGACTCCCAGAGATGACTGAATAGAAGGGAAATAATGTAGACTTATGATTTATTCATACATGAAGTCATCAAATATGAACATGGCCAACATTTACCCAGCTGTGGTTTGGAAACACTCAGAGAGGCCTGAAGTTATAGATGATGTAATGTAGATCACATTACAGCAGGTGTGTACATGACACATTGTGGTGTAGCTGCATGTATGTGGTGTAGCTGCATGTATGCCCCCCCCCCCCCCCCCCCCCCCCCCCCCCCTCAGTGTTACTTAATGCTGGAGCGTTGTATAAACGACTGCTAGGCTAAAGCCGGGGTAATAATAAATGTGCCTCGGAATAGAATTATCTAGATAGATGGCACTATAGAAATGCCTATTATTATTATTATTATTAGGCGTATGCATTTCCCCTCCCTATCTCCTGTGTGTAAAGTCAATATGGGCTGGATTTTTGTGAATTACAGGCCGGACTTGTTGCGTGAAAAGAATCCCTTTATACCAGAGATTTTGGGAACACAAATGCGGTCCTTCCTACCCCGAAGTGGGGGGGGGGGGGGGGGGGGGGGTGTGTGTGTATGCCCATGCAATGATTCTCATTTGCACCATTTATTTTCAAGTATTTTGGGTTGCAATCTGAATTTCTGATGTTATTCATCTGTACAAATTCTTTGAATTTTTATTATCCAGAACTCAATCATATAGTGACCCAAAATTTTGAATCAGTTTCTTACAATAAATTACATGTATGCTGATAGGTGCACTTAGCAAAAACTGCATAATAACGTTAAAGTGGAGGAAGTGTCGTCACAAACAGTTGCAAAAGATTATCAGATGAACTCATGAAGCATTTGAGTGAGAGCAGAAGCCATTGAACTACTCTACCCTGGAGAGACAGGAAATCCAAAAGATTAACAGCATTTACTGGGTGTGGAGGGAAGATTTCCAAATGGCCCATTAGTTTCTACAGATTTTCTGATCTAAATGCAAGAGTTCATTAGCTAGGTTGGTCTAACATGGTCTAAGCACTGGGTATAATCGCATGAGCTTTACACTCTTCAGGTTTGGTAAATCATGTAGCGGTTATGCGGAGTGATTAATAAGGTAGCAAACCAATTACTGCAATGGATACTTGAGGCCTCTTCAGATTGTAATGGCAAATCAGTGTTGAGTAATCATATAATAGTTATGAGGAGTGATTGATAGTTTATTAGAAAAGAGATATCAAAGTGCATGAACTTACTTGTAGTTGATGCCTCTTCCAATACTTATGGCAGAATATACATTGTAGAATTTTACAGTGCTATTGGAAACCCTTCAGCTTGATTTACTCTGTTAAATGTATCATAACATATTAAATGTAGATGTGTGTGTTTCTATATTTGTTTGTATTTAACTTTACAAGCAAGTTATGTATTTTATGATAGGCAATAATCATCTTTTTATCTTTAACTTTCAATCTCATCTACAGTAATTCTGAATTTGTCTTCTGTACTCCCACCATAAGCAGTTCATTTTCCCAAGCATTGATTTCATTGACTGCATCAGATGCTCATATGTCACCTAGTACCATTTTCCTCTTGGTATTCACAGCTGTTTATTTTTATTTGTTATTTTTCACTGTGATAGGTCACCCTTCAACCTACATTCTCAAGTGTAACCTGAACCTGAGTTCTGCAAGAGAGGTGAGCAAGACGTTCTCTCGCACCATAGAGGTGGAGTACCACACCCCTCACACCACCGCTTCCAAGACGACTGTACGCTCCCTGGCCGTCTCCAGTGAGAAGTCTCCGGAGAAGAGGATACGCTACATGGCAACCTACGAGTACCAGGTGCAGATTGAGGACAACTATATCCGGCATTCTCTGGCCGAGGATAACGATGCGCCCGGAAGATGTTTGCAGCAGTGAAGACCACATTCCACTTCCCACCCGCTCCAGGACTACTGTCCCCTTCCTAGCTGTCTTCTCTTTACCCTTTTTCTAGATGTTCCCAGTGAGAGGACATTCTACCCAGCCTTTTACAAGTACCGGTTGCAGACTGAAGACAGCTACATTTGCCCAGTATATGTCTGCAGCAGTGAAGACCACACCACTATTACAACCCCTCAAAGACAACGGTCCATTCTCTAGTTGACTGCCACGAAATGATTCAGAGCAGATGATACACTTATATCTATCTACCCGGTGCAGATTAATGATAGCTGCATCAGATTCAGGTACTACTATTCTGCTCTTGTTGATTGCGATGTTCCCAATACATGTATGCAGCTGTGAAGACTACACCAGGCTCACCATCCCCTCCAAGACTACCGTCCTCTCCCTAGCCTTCTCAAATAAGAAGTCCCCTGGACTACCTGATGCATATCGAGGACGGCCGCACCAGGCATGCTGCAGTCCACGATGATGATACTGCTTTACCCAATGCATGTCTGCAATAGTTACAACCACACCCCTTCTTACCACCCCTCCAAGACCATTGTCTACTCTTTTGCTGCCTCCAATGATTCCTTTCTGCCACCTTTTTTTAGGAGAAAAGAGAATTCCGGTCATATTCCATTAAACATTCACAAATTTTCACCTGACCAAAACTATTACATCATCATTCCACTGTATATTCCAAAGTTTATATTCCAGTTAAATGTAAGTTTAGGAGGATTTTTGCATTTTAGTGTAAATGATTACCATTTGAAATCTGTGTAGTTTTTGGGGTCAGTGTCAGTTCAGTGATCCAAGAATACAGGTATGAAAAGCCAAATTGCTAACATTCTATTCCAAAAAGATGAGGTGCTCAACTCATTTCTAAAAGTGGGTTGATCTTCATATTAAAAAGAAAAAATTGACACGGAATAGGTGCAAGATTGAAAGTGGTGTATGTATGCATGTAGTGACCTTATTGATATGTTATGTATGTTAGACAGACTGGCAGTTTGCTTGCTTTTCAACCAATCTACAACTCGATATCATCCCTATTCTTTATTTCAATTAATAATAATGTGATAACCAACATTACTCAGTAAAAATTATCAGGAATATATATATACGAGTCAAATTAATTTGTATACATGTACATATATTCCTAAGAATAGAATTCCCTTTCCCTCTAAATGTAGATTATACGAATAAACTTTCCATGTCCAGTACACATACCTGCTAACCATGAGTGTCAAAATGTGAGGTTTCTTTGACAGAAGCACCTTCATATTGATACTAATGTGAGAAAGTTGAAACAGGCCTACGTTAAAAATATAACTATAAATGTAGACGTATGATGGAAGTGTACAGTAATGTATGTTGCAGCGTCTGTATTTTCTTGAAGACATTTTTCTTAGAGATGTTCCTTTTTATAAAAAATTATACGCAATTATGCTCCTACAATTTCTGCATAGGTGTACTTACCTCAATTTTTTTATCTATGGGAAGGGAGTGTGCGTTCATGTAATTTGGTTTTTACAGACGTGTACATGTATCAATCTGATATGATTATTTACGTCTGGGGACCGACCTCTAACGTCACCATCCGAAAAAAGTGACTTAGTTTCGAAGCGGGGTCCGTCTGAGTCAATTTTACGCATAAGGATTTACGCAAACTGCCATCTGCTGCTCACAATGTCTCAGTGTGTTGATAGCCGAGGCCCACAACACATCACCAGCATGATGATGCTTGCGTACAGGAACCTGAAATTGCTCTATGTATGCCTTCACCCAAAGATGGCGCAATTAAAAATATATCACAGCAACGGTAGCGTTGACGGTAAAATATCCTCCTTTTAAAGCAAAATTTAGTTTTTCTTTATTCCCTTTAGCAATCTTGGTGCTAAGCTGTAGCTTAAATCACTGTGTACTTTTCGAGAATCATTTTCACATTCTAATCAGCTACAGCGCCTTCTCTCAGAGGCCTATGAGAATTTTGAAAGCCTCACAATCTGTAATGCTGGATGGATGTCATGGGAGTGATTTTGAATGAATCCACATTGAAGTGATATTGCAATTGTCTGGAGAAAAAAAAAGGAACTGTCACTGTTTGAAATGAAACAATGAGACACAAGTTACTGAATGTACTCAGTTGATGAGACAAATGCAAATAGATATTCATTGAAATATGAAATTAGATAAAGCAAGTGTGGGGATGCTTTCCAGATTTTGACTAATAATGATATTTATTAATATAGTATTCACATAATTATAAGAAGTGTTATCATAATGGTCTAACACCTCTAAACATAACCTGTGTGACCAATAGTCTGTGCATCATTAACTTGTGAAATATTGCACATGATTATAACTTATAATTTACCACTTGTGCTGGATTACTGACTCTAACTCATTAAAATTGTGCATTTTAAGTACTAATGGTGTATATTTTTTTCTTTATACAATTCTAATACATTTATAATGTAATTTTTTTTATTTATCGTATTAATTGTGGTTATAACTGTCTTTATGTAAATTAATGTGTTGTCTTTGTCTGCATCAAATGCATTATGATTCTTATTTTTTTAAATTTAATCTTCAAACAGCTATGACAATGGTTGCTTTAAATAAAAGTGCTGACTTTATTTTGGTGTACCGGTATGTTATTTTTTGTAACGGCAACTGGTTGCTGAAGAATTTGTGAAAGAAAAATAGATGTAAGTACTGATTGGACACTATTGACAGTGACCCCCTGAGGACTGATATATAATCTTGCTAAGTGTTACTGGATTACTTTAACTTGGTGATGGTAGTAGGTATGGAGATGTTTATACTCAGTTGGCACTTTCAATTTAAGTTATTTGGCATCATAATGAAAATCAAATATAAATCATAAATACAGATTACCTTAATATGCCAGGACCCCTAAGAAGCAACACTTGCTTGTCAATGGGGCCCCCTCATAAGTTGAGCACTACTTTAAATGAAATTACAAACAAGACTGCTCTTGACTACATTCATGAAGCAAAGAAGCATGGATATTCATAGTTCATTCTCTAACTATTGAATTAAAGTAAGGTACTTGCTTACTGTTGTATACCTTTATAGAAAATATGTAAGGTTGCTATATATCAGGAAGGCAAAATGCATACTTTGCAACCATTGAAAATCATAATTTTGTTGCACAGAGGTACATGTAGAGTTGTAGATGTAGGACTATGTCATTATGACATGAAGCGGGTCAATACCTCTGCTACATTGAATAGGCTTGGTATTACTTAAATCGTCTTGCAGATATTTCAAATTACAATGTTTAATTAACAGACAATACCGACTATTATGCATTTTGGATTCTAAACACGTCATTTCGTGCCAATCCTTTTATTGCTATTATAGCTATGTTTATAAACTGTTCTGATTTTGCGTGTAGATTTCGAAAGAGATTGTTACAGAGAACTGTTCCGATTTTTTTCAACACCTCTGTCTTCTTAGACCTACTCCTGCACCCAGTGCAGCGGCAAGACATGGTTAAAGATTGTAGAGTGAAACCTGTTTATAAAGATCACCCAAGGAAGACAAGAAAAGTGGTCTTTATAGGCAGGTGGTCACTATGTAAAGGTTCCTTTAGTACATGCTTCAATGAGAAACAATTTTCAAGGGAAAAAAAAGTGTGGTCTTTGTAGACAGATGGTCACTAAAACTGGTTTGACTGTACTATACAAAGTGTTGGTTATTGGGCTGGTGTATAATGCAAATATTCTGTGCGTAATCTGTTGTATGAACTACACATTTGTTAGCATAACTGAGCTGGCAGACAAGTGCTGAAAGATGAAAAAAAATCCATCCATTGGCAGAATATTGATGAAACATTGTGCCATGAAAGTCAAACAAACATTGATGTAGGTGTAACAAATGGCCTTCAGATTTCTGAGTAGACTATATGATGTCAAGATTTTCTATTTTGATGGATGTCTCGTGTTTACAGATGTATATTATTTTGTGTACATTCTGATGTTAAGCTGATAATGCCTAATAGCTGGAATGGGTCTATATCGATAGTATGTAGAAATGTTTGCCAATCTGTTGAAAGTGCCTATTTGTTCAGCCAATAATTACTCTTCACACCTTTGTATCTATTTTAAGACATACCGGTAGCAATAGGAACACATATTGCTTGCTTGGTCATCGTCTACAAATACAACTATTGACATACGTGAAAGTTTTGCAAAGGCGTTGAAACGGTTTATGAAGGGGGTTATTTTGTAGAATTGTGCCTTTTAAAACATGTAAAAGCTCAAGAAATGTGTTTACATGTATGTATGTATGGCTTATATCTTTTCAAGATTTTCTATTCACACAGCCAAAAGTCTGCCAGTTTTATATGGTGAAATATTGCTAGATGCCTTGCTCAAACTTGATGCATTTTAAATCTTTGCTGTTTTTAATATAAAATATATAATATTTTGTGTACAGTAACTTCTAAGAGAAACTACATGTACCTTTACAAATTGTAAATGGGACAAAAAATATTTTGGTTATAAAAATATGTTTATCTTATCAACGAATGTAAGATCTTTTGTATTACTTGATTTCAATCAAATATAAAGGAATCTTCGAAGCAGCTCTATAAATACATCATTAAATGCTGAGTGCAAATACTGCAATTCCAGTGTTTTAGATCAGAGTGTTATGTATGGTGCTATTTACACACGATAGGTCTCAAAGAGCTCTTTAGCACCAGTACCGACAACACTGAAGAACTAATGAATAAATTAAAAGTGATCATTACGCAATTAAATGTAATGTAAATAACTTGCTAACAGTAATCATAGGCTAGAAGAGAATAGTTCATGTGATACTGATGATGATGATTCACAGCATTTGTATGGCACCATATATCTGTTTCAAAAAACATTCAAAGGCGCGAGCTCCTCAAATAAAGTTAGCATTTAAATGTCTGAAGGAAAATGTGAATTTTGAGTGAAGCTTTGAAGTCGAAATGTTCAAGCAATATTGCCTTGAAAATAAGAGTTAAAAAAATGTTATGGCACTCAGTACTGCTGGCTGCATTGCTAAATTTCATTTCGGTGTCTTTTTTTATTGTATTCATTGAAATAATTTTCTATTGTGCAGAGTAAAGTACATGTAGTTACCGGTAGTATTAAAAATTAGGTGGAGTACATAGTTATTTTGAAATAAATTATACTATTTTCTTCGGTGCTGGGGAACTCATCGTCATTTCCAGATAATCTATTCCAGATATTGTACACAGTTTTGTGAATAAATTATATTGCTATTAAATCAGAACGTATATAGTTAGAAATATTTATTCAATTTCTTTTATTACCATAAAGAGTTGTTTCCAAGGTGTAAAGTGAATGAGTTGAGCAAAGATACAGTCTGAAGACGAATTTTTGAGAGTCCAAGCATAAAGATTGTTTTATTTTTTTTCTTCCTGTTTTTAATGTGTTTTTTTTCAGAAGAAAATTTTTATTCAATCATTCTTGAGCAAGAACAAAACAATAGATTTGAACAAAGTATATTTTGTGACATTTCGGTAAAACAAACATTTTTACATTAGTCACACATGTCTCCATTTATTTATCTAGTAATACAACAAATTTATTGCGTGTGATAGAAAGAACCCGTGAAACTTCGTAAAAACGTCTTCTTAAAAGAATTCAAAGATAGCTGTTCTCTTTTGTATTTCGCAGAGAATATATAGTGTTTGCATATAAAATGATGAAATGAAAGATAGATTGCCATCTTGGAAATAAAACAATTTTTTTTTTTTTTTTTAATTCAAAAGCACTTCATTGTTTAGAATAGAGCTTTGGAAGTCTTGAATAAATTGAAGCGTACTTGGGCAATCCCAAAACAAATGTGAAATACTTTCAACAGAGGATAAGCAAAATGTACAGTTGTAGCCCAATTAATTTCCGAGATCGGAACCTTAACGATCTAACAGAAATTTGATGAACATATTGGCATACTTTGATAAACTTCTTTAAAGTATGTAGTAATTCCTCTGGGGGTGTCTTGCTTTCAGCTTGGTGCTGTAGGATACAATTTTTCCTTTCTTTAGGTGTGGAGATTAATGAGAAGTAGTCAAGAAAATGACGTTGAACTTTATATTTTTGAATTAATTTCATATGAGAATAAAATTTACCATGGCATGCTCATCTGACAAATGTCTTGTACGATTGATTCCAATATCTATCCAATACAACATTACCATTTATTCTAATAAGAGTGTCATTCCACAACACTTGATCTTGAATGTTTACATCAGTCAATTTAGGGGAGAATGTCGACGCACTCCAAGCAAATAAAATTTCACGTATAAAGTGGTTCCTTACATTGGATATTTTGGGGTCATTAAACTTTAAATTGCACAACCAAAACAAATCTTCCCCGAGATATTTCAAATAGTATTAAAAAAAGCATTTCTATTTACCTGTATTTTCTACACCAATCAATCGTTTTACCATGCAATTTTCAAACCTTTAATAACTGAAGGAAGATATAACACTTTTAATCCATCTTGATTATAATCTCCAATGATTGTATGACGGTTAATCATATCTGGTTTTCTACTCCATATCAAGGAGTACATCAAATAATCAATTTCTTGCAAAAATTCTTCTGGCGGCTTTGGCAGAACGGATAAAAGATGTACTAATTGAGACAGGCTCAGCGACAGTGATTTTCTCTATAGGGGATAAATATCTCATATTCCATATTCTTAAAATGTTTTTCAATTTTTTTTTCTTTCAATTTTGAAGGAATATTTAATTCAAATATATCATTAAGATTAATAGAAAATATATCCCTCTATAGGGGTCCATTGGAATATCTAAGTCCAGAAAAAAGATATGTCGGGAGGGTGGGCTTTGTAATACCCAAGAGCTACTATTTCCGATTTGATCAGGTTGATGGATAGTCCTGAAAACTTTAAATTGGTCCAAGATATATACATACTAATTTTAAGCGACGCGACGTCGTTTAAATAAAACGTTATGTCATCAGCATGTATTAAGCTTAATTTCTGCACCGTTTACTCTGATGCCTTTAACATATCTCTCCCAATTCCTTATCCATATACACATTATTTCATTACAAATTATATACAGAAGGGGCTTAAAGGGCAACCTTGTCTGTTTTTTAAATCTACACATACTTGGGATGGAATGTCCAATCTTTTTTGGTATAAAGAAATATTTTATTTGGCAGTTGTGTAGCATGGGTTAAGTCATTGAGGGATGACTTTGGGCAATGTTGGGCACCGAATTTACAAGATGGATATAACGATAAGGCCGTGGAGTTGCGGGAGGGGACTATATCATCCTTCTTCACATTCTCTTCCTCTCTCATTCTTCTGTTCTTTCTTTTTCATCATTTTTTAAGGGGGCGGGGGGATCGTGGGGTCCCCTCATCTGTTCAGTTCTTCACTCCGTGTTGAAAAAAAAATGTTTTGATGTTTTGTATGACTATTTCGTCATAGTAAACAAGGAAAAAAGAAAGAAAGAAAGAAAATAGAAGCAAAAAAAAAAAAAAAAAAAAAAAATTGTAATGATGAGAGCTGTACAAATTTGCATGTGAGATAAATTATACATCTACTTTTATTGTTTGGGTTAGTCTGTACACAGCTTATAACCTGACAAACATTGCAATTTGCAAATAAGAGTGAAATAGTTTTATTTATTGTAATCCGATGCTTGATTTCGGCTTGATGAAGCAATGTAGGAATCGGAAAAACAGTGTTTTTACAAGATATACATGTATGTATCGAAATTTGTTCGATCTCATCTATGATAGAAAGTTAAAAAAAGTCAAAAATATTGGAAAGAAATCAATAGAGAAAATGCAAGATAAAGTGAAAAGAAAAAAAAGGACATATAACGTAAATAGAGATGGGCAGAAATAGAGAAAAAGAGAAAGAGAAAAAAAGAGCAATTGAAACTGCTTTTAAAATCAATTAACATCCAAAGTACATTGTCAAGTTAAAAGCATTGCGCCCTCAAAGATCAAGTCGTCCATGCCGAGATTTGTTTAAACCCATTTAATTAAAGAGCAACTTGAGTGAAAATTATGCTAAAATACATTGTATCTAACAATAAAAGTGTTGTTTTGTTTCTTTTCACGTGACTCGCTTTGATACGGATGTTAACTTCATAAAAACTGCATTTAATTTCAACTACGTAATGAGAATCTTTCATGAATCATCCAACAAGAACGAAGTGTCGATTGGTAATTTGTCTTGCGGATTGACATAATTTGTTGCTGTTCCGACATTTTAAACTCTTTGATTTTTTAATTCAAAAGAAGTGACGCACAAAAAGTCATAAATGTATGATATCGAATCTCATTATTCATCCTGATTTAATTAAGATCGAATTATATGCACACAAAGACCTATCTGTTGGTACACGAAAAACAAAAAACTATTGGCAATTCACGCACCGGGTTATCATATTCATTAAAAGGGAATAAGAATCTTAAAATCTTAAAAGGGGAAAAAGATCAGCAAACATCTACTACCTTTTAATATGAAGACATAGGTATCAAAAAAATAAATGAAAATAAAAGCTAATCATACTAAATATATTTGTTCTTGCACGCCGTCGGGTATATTTATGTTTTGTCCAATCTTCCTGTTAACATTACGGAATCATCGAGTTCGAGAGCAGAACTTATACCGCAAGGAATTTGAATATGTTAAATTGCATTCATTTTTATTTACTCACATTAAAATTATCATTATTATTATTATGCAAAGTTCTTTCAAAGTAAATCAAATTGTATTTGTTGACAAGCTGACAAATGGGATTACGAGGTCTTGAAAACGTTAAAAATTATCACTGGCATAGTGGCCCAAAGAACAAACATCAATTTCGTCACCCTCCCGCTCGTCATCAAGGTCTTCGTCATATTTTGGCGGGATCCGAACCTGCTCCGCGAAGTTTGATGTCACTTGGCTGGTTTGCATCACAGGCAAAAGCGAGTCCGCAAGGCTCTGGAAGGAAGGTACTCCTGCGTACTTGGAAGGGTTGGTGTATGGAGACGGATAGCTAAAGACGGGAGAGCTCTGAGTGGGCAACGTCGGAGAGGGGTAGTTGAAGGAAGGGAGAGAAGAAGTAAAGAATCCAGGAGAAGGAATATCACTTGTCGGCAGGGTCGTGTTTGCCAGGAGGCTTAAGCTGAATGGTGAGAAAGTAGGAGATGGGTCGATTGGAGATCGGATGTCGGTGAAGCTACTCTCATTCGTCTGTAGAGACGGGATGGTGATTCTAAGAGGAAAAGGACGACGAGATTTATAGGACGGTTCAGGAGAGTGATCCGACGAGACAGCTTCTGGGCTTTTTGTCGCGGTTACCGCTTGCGGACTCCAGGAAAAGTCGTCCGAGTGATCTAGGGGCATGTCTTGCGATTGTTCTGATGTTGTGGCTCTTTGTGACCGGAATGCAGGCTCGTCGTCTTGGTAGGGAATGTCATTCTGCGAATAGAAGGGAGGCTCGTCTATTGTGTGAAATGTATACGCAGCTGTTGACGTAACTCTTGGCGATGGATGTCGATCTGTATTGATATAAGATCGCTGCGCCGCCGTCACGACGCTTGGAGGTAACGAGGACATTGGTGTCGCTTGCTCATCGAAAGGTGATACTCTTAACGAACTTGGAAAGGTGGGCACCTGGGGATGAAATTGAGCCTGGTCTGGGACGTTACAGTAGCACATGCTTTGTACTGTTTCTCCGGCACGAAAAAAAGTGTTGGGCATGGAACTGATCCGCGGGGCGGCAGTGGAATTCATCTGCGGGTTTGCCGACATGTAACTGTCACGATATGCCGACTCTGTGTCCATCATGGGATTTTGGAAGACCGGTCCCGTCTTGTAATTCGCTGTAACGGAAACTTGGCATTGATACGTTTCATCTACCAGAGATGAATGGAATGATGGTCTTGGACAGTACTGTGACGCTTGTCCCATAACACTATGAGCTGACGAAAGGTTGGCTGAAGTTGCAGTCATTCGGCTAGGAAAATATCCCGATGGTGGGTCCATGGATTCGTAAGACGTGACCATAGAACTTGGTGTTAATGGTCTCACGGTGCGATTAGCACTGAGAGAAACCTGGGGTCGATACATTTCATCGACCTGAGAGGTGTGAAATGATGCTGAGTGATAATGTGGCGCTTGTTCAAAATTTCCTTGGGAGGCCGGCGAGGCTCCAGGGATTCGATCGCTGAGATTTGTAACCCGCGGGTCACTGGATTGGTAGGGCATAATAGGACTTGGCATTATCCGCCTACTCGAGGGATTCGCTGTGAAGAACATCTCCGGTCGATGAGAATCAAGTTTCTGAGCCGACTGGAAGGATGTGGGATAGTACTGCGACGCTTGTCCAAAAACATTCTGAGATGACGACGACGACATTTGTGTCGGCTGTGATAAGTTCGCCTGAGACGAGTCCCACGAAGAATATGGACTGTTGCCGTATCCTGTCAAAGAAAAGAAAAGTTTAAGCAATATTTTGCTTTCATTAAATGTGTATAGTTTCCTTCAATTGTGGCCATCATTTCCTTTCGAATAAAATGATTACTGTTTTGATCATTGTCGGCACAATTAATGACGAAGATGGGTAACATTTTCGTGTTCTCGGTTATCAAGTTAGGCGAACAATCGAAACAAACCCTTTTTCCCACCATGATATGGAGAGAGCAAATATATAAGAATATTACTTTACTATCGATTCTTACAATCTAATCATCCCTCAGAAGGATTAAGATCTGAGGAAGAATCAGGATTCAAGGGACGGGGAGGGGAGGCGCAAACTGAGGCCAACTTAAGTACGAATATCAATTGGTAGGAAAGGAAAAAAAATATCAAGCTAATATATATTTTTGAAGTGGAGCTGGAGAGGCTAAGGTTGTTTAGCCTTGTAAAATTATGTAAACGAAATTCCTTAACTGTAATTGCACCGTCTCCTCGCAAGAAACATACCGATATTTGTCGAATCTGGCGACGGCTGAACAACGGGATACGCCATCTCATCTGAATTTGGTCCTTCGGAGGTGAGATCAATCACTGGAGGAGGCAGTGGTACATCATGATGAAAGCGTTGGCTCTCCCGTAGCTGTTCAGAGGTGTCCTGGTCTTGCCTGTGCTGTCTCACCTGCTCTCGACTCAGGGCTACCTGCTTGGCCATCACCACTCGCCGCTGGCTCACGACGATACATCGAGTACACCGGCAGTAGCGGTACTCGCATAATCTCTTGTGGCCTTTGAGGTCCAGGATGAGCCCGTGGTTGCGGCATCGAGCGCAAGTCGGATGCCGTTTCTTGAGGGGAAGACACCTTTGTAGCTCATCATCTACATGTAGTCCTATCCCATCTTCTTCGTCTAGGAGGGGAAGGGGATAGTAAAAATAACAGATGTACTGAAGGAGAATCCAAACTTTAATAGGACTAGCAGCCATATATAAGTGACTGAATGTTGTCTAAATTGATATAGGCCTATAAAGGCTATATGAAAAAACTTTATCAAATTGTAGCTCGTCACATTGTTAATATAATCCTTAGATATGTCTTTCTACTAGAGTGAGAATGGATGGATACACTAAAGTACTAGACCACTTCCATTTCGTCAGATTTTAAAGAATAATCTAAAATCGTGGAATTTGCCATGTCCTTTTATGTTGTAATGGCAATTCAAAGTGCCATAGTGTCCATTTTCATCTTTCGTACCAAGGAATATACCCCCCAAAAAGTTCATTGTACCACCGCCCTCGCCTCTCCCTGATAATTCTAGACCTGATTTTGTCTGTATAATTGTGATTCAGAAATGTAATTATTATATAAATCACTATTCTATAAGCCTGGGGTTGAAACGGTCAAATATTTCAAACGAATTTCAAAAAAACATGAAACTTGTAACTCTTGAGGTACAACGCCGAGTACTGTTTTTTTTTGATGAGGTAACTGTGGAAAACAAAGAAAAAAACCCACTAATATTATAGTAAGTAATTATCAGGATAGGTGAATTATGGAATATAATTTGAAGGATGACAATATTATTCGGGTTATTAGATGTAATTTCTGCAGCGACTTACAGGCTAATCTACAGTGCGTCCCAGAAGAAAAAAAAAAGAAACCCGAAAAAACGATTATTGTGAGCAAACTATGAACTGTACCAAAATAACTAGAAGTAATATACTTTTAGATAATAAATAAACATTTGGTTGCATTTACATGTATAAAGCATGTACTCTTTACCGAGCAATATGGTTTTTGAAAATGGCATGTCATAATCATTTTGTGCCAGATGATGGTACTTTAGGGAAAACGTTAGTATCACATGAGAATATGCCGTAAAGGAAATGATAATACAAGATTTCCATCGTCTGATGATGTGCATTTGAAAAGGCTGTTAGAAAAAAAAGGAAAAGTAAATAGGGGTGAAAACCCATTTCCGGGATGCCAGGGGTATATCTTTAGATATTCCCCAAATCAATGATTATCCCTCAAGCAATGAAAAGTGACCCTTTTTCGAATGAAAGGAGTCCCCATTATGAGAGGAAAAAATTGCACATTCTTATTTCTTATAATTATACAATACCTTTCCCATTTTATCAAGATGTAAGATGCCCCTTACTTTAAATTCTTATAAAAACATATCACCCGATTTTCCTCTTTGTATTTAAAAAAGTTGCAGTGCTGTAAAATATAAAAATGAAACAAATGCAGACCTATTTCAGTACGAAATGTGACTTTTTTTAGATTCAACATCGGCAGTATCTCCCCTATCTTTCATTTTTTGATTGTTATATTACTCTTGTTATTGTTATTGAAAGAAACGCACATGAAAACAAATTATCACTGGGTTTTCAGTTGTTTTTCCATTACATGTAGGTCATGTTCAATAATGTTCGCTTTTGTGATCACAACGTATTCATGGCTTTACCAAAATCTGGCCAAAATTGATTTAGAGGTTTTGACGTGCCATTTTCAAAAGAATGTTGCTCGACGAATCATGTATGGATTAATTTTATCAACGTTTCACTTGAAAGCATATTACTTTTACTTTATGAAAGGCAAGGAAACAAAAGTTATGCGGGTCATAATAACTTTTTTTTTTAATTCTGGGAAAAGGTATATTAACATCTAACTTGGATCGACAGGGATGCCGTTTTGACGCTGATTTAGGAAATGTGATTGTTATCATGATTTATAACTATTCTATATTTAGTCCAATCTTAGTACCTTCTTGTACTACTAGTACTACTAGGAGCGAATGGACCTTAATTACTAAAGGTAGGCTTCCCGGTAGGCTTCAGTCTCTGATATCGACGTTTGTTCTGCCGAGACTACGTCTGGCTCCTTTATAATACACTAAAGCATTCCCCTTCCCCATATCAGCCACTTATTTCTGTCTATTAAAGGCGCGAAGTATTGGGCGAATATAAATGAATATTTAACCAATAAAGGACTGTACAATACGACCTCAAATATTATAAATGGCAAATATGTCGACGCGTAATTTGATGCACAATCCAAAATAAACCAGACTTTCAATTTATTTTCTAAATTCTAGAGTAGGTTCTAAAGGAGGCAGATGGACCAGAAATACACGTTTGAAAACTTTGTTGCATTACAATCTGCTTAAATCTCTTTAGTTCCATGAACCCAAATGTGGCGGAATAGAGATGAAGAGGGGGGGGGGGGGGGGGGGGGGGGGGGGGTACTACTGCCAACATCCCTATTTCCAGACGGTTATATTTTAAACTTAGACCCTAGAAAATAGAACATAAGACATGTCACTTTGTCAGATTTAGATTTTTTATTTCTGTCTCATTGTCCAGACTAACGTAACGACCAAGTCCTAGGCCAGTAAGTTGACGAGACCCCCCCCCCCCCCTCTACAACCAGCCTCTACTGCCCTAGATCCGGCTGTCTAGGCCTTTCACTTTTTACTTTTAGTTAACTTGTCTGTGACTAGATCTAGGTCTAGACCGTATGGCTGTGCAACATCATATACCGAGCTGAGTAGTATATAGTAATAGTAGAGTCTAGACCTTTATTATTATTGTTTTACTATATAGATTCTAGGTCTAGTCTAGATCTACTGACTAGGCCTAGCCATAGCCTAGCCTGGCCTACCGATCTTCAGTCTAATTTAACGATACGATAGCGAAGCCCGATCTAACAAAAGTTAGATCAAAAAAGTAAACCAGTCTCTCTTTACTCAGAATGGGTCCAAGTAGATCTAGATATTGGATATCTGGGTCTAGACTGTAAAATAGAAGAAGTTTTAAATTTAAATGTGTCAACTTACTTAGATTGATAATTCAAATCTAACCCTCCTCTTCTTTAACTTGAACTTTGAATCAGTCATTGAATTTTGTACTTAGACCTAGATTCTAGTCTAGAATCTAGATTGAACTTACCGATGCCAGGTCCATTTTTGTTTGCAACATGCAGCATGTTCTCTTAAAATCTCATGCCTCATGGAGAATCTAATCAGAAAGGTAGAATTCTAGAGAAGAGTTAGTCTGAGATCCTTAAACAACTTAGCAGAACCCTTAATTGAAATTAAAAAAAATGTTTTCCAATGTTTTTTAAAGATTGAATTCAGTTCGGTCCCTTGTCTCCTTCCATTTATCGTGCAAAAATACAACTACGAAGGCCTAGCCTACGCGTACGCGCGCGCGCGCAAACGTCAATTTAGTACGATCTAGATAGCTAGCTGCTATGCGCTTTTTTGTAACATGACGACAACGGGCGAAGAAAAAGTGGGCGTGACAAAAGTGGGCGCGACATAAGTGGGCGCGGTTTAAGTGGGCGTGACAGAAGTTAACTTGACACGTGTTTCTTTGTCTTAATTACGGACTTCCACAACAAGTCTCAATAGCAAGCAAAATGAACACACAAACTTTTATTTTTTATTTCGACTTACTGGTTTCTGCAAATTCTTTTGAACACAGGCCAACATTTTCATGAGCATAATTCTTGGCCTTCAATTTCTCGAATATATATTGACGTACAAGGAAATATACAATATAGATCTAAGCTATATATAAATTCTTAGCAGGGAACTTCGCGTGCCTTAATCGGGCCCTCTGCTATAACTACAGTATAAGAAAGATTAACTTTCTCGGACGTGTTAATGGCACTCTAATGTTGAAAGATTTCTGATATCAAGAGACACTTTGTCCTACCTGAGACGCTCTTTTCATACTTTTGCCTTTTCAAAATGTTTATTACATCGATTACATCAGTATTGGAAATACCCAGATTGAAATGTTTATGATAATGATAAAGTGTTGAAATATTTTAAACACGTCCGATCATAATATACCAGTTCGCGGTGCACTGTACCAAATGACCCTGATTTATCCATAGATCTTCACAACATGAAGAGGTCCCACTTTGTACAATTTTAAATAATTACTCCTACAGCGATGGAGGTGCTACAATGAAATAGCCTTTGTTTCCCCTTTTCAAAGAACACTTCCACCTGTGTATCATGGAGTGCACGGCCGCTTGTGCATAAATGAATAATGATTACACAACATTTAATATGAGCACTTATTGGTCTGCAATGACCTTTATCGTCTCATGCTCAGACTGCAACTATGAACTGCCTTATTCATTATATTTCCACCTTTTCATATGGTAGCCAACTCAAAATGTTATGGTCTGATTATAGACAAACTTTCAAAACATTTGAACTATATTGGAACACCTTTAGGTCACATGGGTGGTGGGGTTGGGGAGGGGGTGTATAAAGGCTTTAAAGAGCCACACATTTGGAAAAAACTAAACTGACGAGTCTAAAATCAGGTTCATGCTGTGATGTATATAAGTCAACAAGTCTGTCTAAAATATGAGTCGAATATTCTCCGCCTTGTTATTAGTAACTTGAATTCCAGTTCAGACAAATTCATTACATTGGCAGGTGCATAAGTACCCTTTCGATGATTAGAACAAAAACTGGTTGAGAATGTGCATCAAAGATTATATTTTTACTTCTTGAATTGGGCACATTAATTATTTTGATCGTAGCAGCCGACAAAATGTAAAACGTAAGCAGACTATATTGTTAACAGGTCATGCAAATTTATATGAACAAACTATGGTCATTTATACAAAAAAGGTTTATTCATAAAAAGAATAATATAAATGGTTAAGAAAAATCATAATTTATATGACTCAATCGCCTTGTGAATCTGTTCGTATACACTGCATGTTATATTTGATTGACTTGATTTGAACGAGGATGCGCTTCAGGGGGTACGACAATACGCGCAATTTGCCGCTCCCCTATCGGTGTAAAGGAGAACTTGTTGACGAGTATAAAAGCGACGAGCGACAGTGTCGCGGTGGCTTCGGTGAAGCCGAGACGTCAAGTTAGAAGCGTTCAGTTAAAATCAATTCTCTTGTTCTCTTCATTTTCGGGATCTTTCTTCTGGTTAATCTTTTGAATTTTGAAAATGGCTGCCAATTCTCAGATTGTGGTGAGCGTCTTTATCATAGATATCAAAGTTACGCTGTTTTTAATGTGTTAATCGTGTCATGATTTATGATTTTAGTCTCTCGAGTCCGATTTTTACGATTGAAATTTGAATTGAATCAGAAAGCAATTCCATTTTTATTTGTTGCATGTTAAAGGATTAGTATCTTTGAACAATTTATTGTAGGATGCGGGGTGTGCTTAAATACTCATTCCGTGAGTTAGGAATACGAGGGACTGTTAATTAAGTCTTAATTTTATTGAGAAATTCTAATTATTCAGGGTTCATGATGTGCAATACTGTACAAATTGCATGTCATGTCATTTATTTTCATCGACTTCTTTTTCTCTCTCTCATCGCAATTACAGCACAAGTTGTACAAGAGTGTAATTGACGATGTGATAAACAACGTTCGAGAGGCATTTTTAGATGAAGGAGTCGAGGAACCGGTTTTGCAAGACTTAAAACAGGTAAGAATTTGCTGCCTATATCAGTGCCGCGATAAATTTGACACAGCTTTTTTTTCTTTTTCAATGAGCTCGAGCTCAACAGCTAACACTCGGTAACAATACGAATGTGTATGCACGAATACGTGTAGAGAGCGCACACAGTTGCACGAATAGCTAGGTAATGAAATGAGTCCTTCAGTGTTGCCACGTTTGAATGCTAAAATATCACATTTCAGATAATCCAAAAGAATTCTTTAATTGCTCGAAAGCGTCGCTACATCTGAATCTCCATATTGGTCCTATTTTGAGTCCGTAATATGTCACTAAACAGCCTAAATTAGCAGCTTATTTTAGAAGCTGTCGCGAACGATCGTTCATTGTGCTGCGGCAGCGGTCTGGACGTGGACTGCCATCTTTCTCGGCGCGCTGCGACCTCTTGTTAGGGTACGATTTGCATATGCCCATGTATTTATACTGGAGCCTCATTTGACTACGGATCGCTTTGCAGCCAATGATATTCTTGTATTAGGTTGAGTGACCTCAGCTTGCTATACATATTCATAAGTTGGCATTTAGCCAGCCAATGATTATCCATATTTGTAAGCCAGCCACCCATATCCGTGTCCTGGCTCATGCATAAATTAGCTTATTGTTGCGTGTCTCTGAAAAGTCTGGTGTGTTCAGACTCTTTGAATTAAAATAGGTATGCTAAATGTATTATTTTCAAGATACTATTGAGCTAGTTTGCATGACATATCTGGAAAATTTTATATCCATTTAGAATTTTTATAAATGAATTACATTTTAAGATCGAATTTGTATGAATACTCAAAAATACAAGATGGTTTAGACTTTAGAGAGAGAGTCTGCAAGTGTAAGCTAGTGTTGCAATTAAAGGAGAGACCGTATTTGTAATGCAGGAGTGTGAACGATTATACCCACTTGTACTTATATTGCAAAGTTTCATTAGCACACCATATTGACTCTTCAAAAATGGGGACGTGATCTTTTCAATTGTTAAACTTTTCATATTTCTAATTTTATTTGTTATTCATGATTAAAAAGGGAACACCACCCTAACAATGGATCATTTTTTTGGTTATTTTTGTTTTTTGGGATGTGTAAAGCATTACAAAAATGAAACGCCTACCTATGAAAGTTTTAGGTACCGGTAAATTTTATAAGATTTTTTTTTTTAATGCAGTTAATTTTTCAAAGTCAAACATAAATAGCCTACCGGTACTGTGTTTTCCCATAATTCTACTTATGAGCAGATCCACTTGTTTTGTACTAAGAATGTCACAGACAGAGGTGGCGCTCCAAGGGGGGGGGGGGGGGGGGGGGCACAGTGCCCCTCTTTTTTTCAATTACCCCAAAAGTTCCCCCTTTCACCTTTGATAAGTGCCCCTTTTACTTTAACATGTGCCCTTTTTCCTACGACAAGTTCCCATTTTCCTAAGCAGTAAGAGTCCATATTCCATTCTCATAACTACCCTTTTTAATCTCTAGTAAGTGCCCCTTTAAACTTTTGATATATATTCACCTCGGATATTTGCCCCTTTTCTTTTCTAATAAGTGCTGATTTTCCTTACGATAAGTGCCCCTTTTCATTTCTGGTAATTGCCCCTATTCAAATCTGAGAGATGCTCGTTTTAATTTGACAAGTGCTCCTCCCCCTCTCGATATATAGCTCTTTTCATCTCTGATGAGTGCCCCTTTCCACCTCTAATAACTGCCCCTTCCAATTTAAAGCGACTAAGAACAATTTCCCCCAAAACTTGCTCGCATTTGTAGATGATATAATAATGTTACTTATTAAAGGTCTTTTCAGTCTTTCGTTATGACAATGTGCTTATTTCCCCTTCAGGATTGTGTTTTTCCCTCTCTATAAGATGTAATTTTTCGCACTACGACTTTACAAATCGTAAAAATTTTCCTCGCTCGCTCACAAATGAATATTCTGACCATTACACCAAACTGCAAAGTAAGATGCTTAAGCATAAGCTTGTTTGATGTATAAAGATAAACAAATGTTGAACTCATCCCTGAAAATGTAATCACAGTGAAGAGGTATATACCAATGTCAAAAATATTGTATATTTTTGTATGAGGTTTCCGTTTGTAGGTACCCTTTTTTTACAGAAAGTGCACTTTTTTGTTGGGTGCCCCCCGCCCCCTCCCCCTGGTCATAGATATCAATATTTCTCCAAAGAACATGTTATGACTTACATGTGTCCTAGATATAGACACACAAATTTTACACATCACATTGATGAAATCATTCTGTTTTTTCATCAACAACTAAGAACAAGCACATTGTAATCATCTGTACAAAACAATTTGAGAGCTAATTCTTGCTAGTAATGTCACCAACAAAAATCATTTCTTATTCTTTGTTAGGTTTTCCTCTATATTTTACTGATCTTTGTCTGTTTTTTGTATTGAAGACTGACCTGGTATTAAATCCCACACAAACTTCCTTGTTTGGGGGGGGGGGGGGGTGGGGGGTTCCCTACCAGACACCTAGGAAAGACGTTTGTACTTGGGATGCTGATACTGAGATATTCTCAGCAGATTCTGTGAGAAGAATATAATGCTCATGAGCCACATTTATTGGGGTGTCTTCTCACTCCAAATTTCAAAAACCTCTGACAAAGGAATAAAGAAAAGGTCCTCATGTTTCAGGGATCTATTATTCACTTGAAAAAGGAGAAAATTAAATTAAAATGTTTGTCAGGGTGTGAGAGCTAGGGGCCAGTCACAACCCCTAGAACCTTTGGTGGGCCTGTGAGAGGGAGGACTTCCCCTAAATGAACCAAGTTGAAGCTCCGGAGTGGCAACAAGGTGCTGAACGACATGGTTTCCAATTCAGTGAAGGCAGACAATATACCGGTAGTAAAAAATAAATGTTTGTGAAAAAGAGGGAACTCTTATTATTTTTTTGTATGATAAAAAAAATGTTGAAGATTTTCAAATTGATAGAAATCTCAATTTTTTGTTATTTTTTGTTTGGGATGACTTATCTACTTCCATTATATAGTTTATACAGTGATCCAATATATCTTTCTTCTCAAATTGTAGGATTAGACACTAATGAATAGGCCATTTTCAGAATGGAATTACATTTATGCATATATGCCTTCATGGAGGACCATGCTACATCTATCTCAATAGTCTGAATTCAAATTGTATACCGGTACATTAATTGTTACTAGCTAGGACAAATATGGCTTGTGCCCTACCAACCAACACAGTATGTATGCAATTTGCATTCTGAATGTTGGAAGTACCATTATTTGTAGCAGGTAAATGAAATAATTTTAAACGTTTTTACAAGGCACTTAAGTCTAATTTGATTACATTATGAAAATGGTCTATTTAGGAAGATGCTCAAGAATACAAGACAGTCTATCCCTTTAATGACAAAAATAATTGAATGTTTCTTTGTATTTCATGTTGAAAATAAATTCTTAGTTGTTCCTATTTACACGATACTGCTCACTGCATTGATTTTCAAAGATTCTTTTTTCTTTGTACTAATAGGCATGTACATGTAGAAACACCTGCCTTTCCCCCCTCAAAATCAATGCAATCGACCTGATTAATGTATTTCAATTTTTGCATGTTTCTCTCCCTAACTCCTGGGCCCTGTTTCCCAAAGCCTTTTTTCAATGACAAATAACAAAAATCAGTGACAAATCTGCTGATAACTAATCAGAAGCAAGGATATCAGTAGCTTATAACAAAAAATGTCATTTGTTACTGATGACAAGTTTTGTGAAACGGCCCCCCTGGTTACCAGTCATTTCAATCACCTGCTATGAATAATGGCATCTCTTTGGATGGAATCCACTTTGCATAAATTTACATTAATTGTTGATATGTTGGGCAAGCTGTAACATTAATAGTGTTAAGGTGTCTAGTGTCTAGAGAAACCTTTTGTTGTAAAATTTATGCATACAACTGACAGTAGGTCTTTTAGTAAAAGCTTTATTTGCTTGACATGCAGTCTCAGAGACAATAGATGATTTTCGTAATGTGGTCAAATGTAATGCATATCTTGTTTTATATGCCTCCTTACAAACTTTTCATCCACCTGTTACTAGTAATTTCCTTTCAATAGCCAGGATGCAAATTGCATGCACTCATCACATGTTATTTGGGCTCCATGAATCTCTGAAATAGTGGAGGGATCAGCTAAGAAGAAGTTATCATGCTGTCCCGATCTTCTGCTCTACAAACTTTGTGTTTGTAATTGCTGTAGTACAGTTTGTACTGATATAATGCACATCAATCTTTTATCATTGGCTTTTGAAGTTCACTCATCCAGACACAAAGCAGTGTTTTTTATGAATGGACATGGACTTCACAATGAGGTCAATCAACCTGATAATCATTGTTTGTATTGTGTCTGCAGTGGAAGGAATGTCTGAGCTGAAGTCATTGACCAGCCCTCATGTATTGAAGTGCAATAGAGCTCTATTTATGGAATGCACAGCTCAAGTTGAAACCCTCCAGGTTTTTTTTCCAATCAAGTTGTACGTTATGCAAGCACAATATCAACTTTCGTTGTGGTGTTGGTAATGTAAGAGAGATGCTACATCTATCTTCACTGCATCAAACTTTGATTGGTTTGGATGCGACATTCATTTTACCTGGGACTTCCACGCTAATCAAGATCTTGGTACTGTACCCATATCTTCTGTGCTTCTTGAAGGGTTTGCAGACTACACAGCAACACTTATATAACTGCTATCTCCCAACTCCATGCAAACTTTTTATTGTTTGTGATTTCAACATTCACTGAGATAGGTCTACCAATTCAGAGACATGAACTTTAAAGGTATTTTTAAATCCTTTGGTTTGACTCGGGATGTTACAAGGTCGCCTAGGTCGGACTCGTATCAATGGTCATACAGATGTATCTGTTTGATTATGTGATTGAATACAGCTATGCAATTTGCATTGTATTGAAATATAATTATTGGTGAATGTAAAATCTTGTTGCTTGGTAGATTTGAATACATCTTTTTGCTTATATTTGGCGATTGCACATTTGGCAGATATCATTTATTGGTAGTTTTGAACGCCATTTGCTAATGTGAATTTTTTAGCTACATGTATCTGTATTTTTACTGATAGTGAAACACAATTGTACCAATTAAAAACAAAAAATAGTGTGTAAATAATTTTTGGTGATATTGATCCATGAAAAATTTGTCATAAAATGACATTTCTGAAGGCAATGTGCTATTTAGTGGTTCTCTCTAAAGTCTAAACCTTTTCTACAATTTTTCATTTTGCATTATGAACGCATCTTTTGGAGCTATTATTTTTTGCTAAGCTTCATTGAAAATACTTAATGATTACTGGTCATGTATATGTGATTACCCTGGGCTGGATATGAACCTAACCTAACCTATATCTTACCGACTGAATAAGACAACTCGTATCCTGGTGTAAATTTATTAACTCTGATTAATCAGAACTCATCACGATTTCCTTTAATTTCAATATTCTTGCAGATATGGGAGAGCAAGCTCATCCAGTCGAGAGCTATAGACCTCGCCCAAAAACCACCTCAACAGGCTGCTGGGAAGTACAAAGGTCAAGATACTTCAAGGTCATATCAAAATGCCCAATCTTCATCTGACAGACAACAGATGGAACATCAAAGTGAGTTGCGCAAAGTTTTGTAATTAAAATAGAATAAAAAAATTAAAAAAGGTAAGGATCAGTTTTGGAAATGCCCCCCTCTCAACAAATGAAATAGAAGCTCTTACCGGTAATACCAATCATGTGAAAGAATATGTTTTTGACTATATACGTGATGATAGAAATTTTGCCGGGAAACCGCCAACTAATTGATATATTTGGTAAATTATATCTATTTGGACCTGATAGATATCCCGCACGTGTCGCGCACGTGTCACATAGTTCCATATACATCTTTCTGTGTATAGTGCTTGTAACTTTACTAAGACTAGGCCAAATTTCTTATCATTTTTGATTCCAGAACCTTGCCGTACACACCAATACTTATATGCTAGATGATCAACCTTTTCTGATCGATTCCACAACGATCCTCTCACAATGCTATGGCATGCCCAGAACTGGTCTTTATCTTTAAACTATGAGTGTTCTAATTCAAGGGTAAATGCTGAATCATAGGCATATTAGAAAGGGGAGGGGGGCAGGCAGGCTGGCTGTAGGGATTTGAAATTAATTACCTTAGTATTTGCAACTGTCGACTTATGTGAAGGCAGTGAGGTGCCCTTATATCTCTTATATTTCATCCTGTTTACCTTGAGCAGAAAATAATATTTTTTAACTTTGATGAAATGTCAGATAAAAAAAAAAGAAAAATGGGGAATTGTTGTTATCACCAATATTTGGGCGACTGGCATTACCTCTTTTTTTTTGGAATTAAAAAAAACAAAACATTTTACATTTCTTAAATATATTACGTTTATGAACCAAAGAGTAGCTAATTGGGGGAAAAATATACATACCATTATACACCTATGTTCTGAATGAGGTGATTTCAGATAAATTGTATTTAGCAATTGGTATGATACAGATTTTAATACTGTCAAAAACTGTGGAAAGGTCAAGATGTATCTCTAGGCAATTATGGAATATATTGCAGTACTATTGTGAGCAGGTGCATTGACTACATGGTAATAGTGTCCCACATGGCCATTTGCCACAGTGTCCTCAGGTTGGGGTAGTAGCATTAGTGTTTGGATGTTGTGGGGAGGGGTGTACAAAAGCACTTTATGACAAAGCGTTCACTCATGATAATGTTTGCTTGAAACAACTGTATCCCTTTAAATTTTTCACCAGGAACTCAACCACAAATGGTTCTTCAGGGTGCCACTTCATCACAATCATCTGTTTCTAACAACTTGGTAAGATTATACATTAATAATTTACCTTTCACATCAAAACAAATATTTGTGTACAGCTAGAATGTATAAGTCATCCTATTAAAGACCGTCAATACTACTGGGCCAGAAGAGATTAGACCACACAGCGAGGTCACTGACAGGTGGCTATCTCATTAACTCAGCTCTCAACTAACATAAGAAAAAGAGGATCATGGGGGACCAACAGGCACTGAATTGGGAAGTTTTCTTTATAGAGGGAGCAAGTAGCTACAAGTAGGACAGTTGGGCTTTAAAACAATTTACCTGCCATTCTGGGTTTTATGGGTAAGGAGTGTTGAAGAAAATAAAAATGACATAAAACCCTTACACTTATATGAGCTCACAAAGAATAGAGTCCGACTTGGGTTCCTTGAGGGCCCTATAAAATGCAAGGGCATATGGGTGTGTCAAGTTGCTTTCATGTTTAAGGGCAATCCAACGCTTGTAATAAGGACTTTAAAAAATGCATAACTCATTCTTTTTGTCCGATTTCAATTTAGTTGGCGTGAGGGTCGGCCTAGCTAACATGTCTATTGTTTAGAAGATCATTACGCCGACCTTTACGCCGCCCTTACCATATTTACGCTGACCAGCTCTAAACACAACCTTTACGCCAACCAAAATTGCCATCGTGTGAACACTGCTATAATACTAATGTATCTCAAATATGTGCATGTTTCTCTTCAGAACCCCCTGTTTCTATGTAATTCACCTACTAGGCATTTCTATAGATGGAATCCTCTTTGTATACAATATTTGTTTCTATGTCGGGCAAACCTGGGAACAATAAAACTTTTGTTCATGAAGCATGCATAACATTAGAAAAAGGGTGTATTCAGTGACTGCAATTAGAATGGATTTCCAGCTGTTCATCTATTTTTTTCATAATTTACATAATTTAATCATAATTTACAGAGTTCATCTGCTGTGGCGGCTACTGCAGCACTCCAGCAGAACATGCTCCATTTGCAGTCACAACGACAGCAGATCCAGAATGTACCATTTACCATCCAACAGCAAGGAGCTGGTGAGTCTAATAAAAATAATAATAGGCATTTCTATAGCGCTGTCTATCTAGAAATTCTAATCCAAGGCGCACTAATTATTACCAAGGGCTTAGCCTAGCTACCATTACAGCGCTCCAGCATTTCAAGGAATTAATTCCTGCCAGGTACCCATTTACCTCAACTGGGTCGAGTGTGGCAAATGAAGATTAATGCCTTTCCAAAGGACATTGGTGCCGTGTCTGGGATCGAACGACAACCTCTGAATTTCAAGTCAAGTGCTTAAACCACTCGACTACGACACTTCCACACTTGTACACAAGAGTTTGCCCATCTTGGTTGCACTTGATCACAACATGGCTTATTCTTTTGTTTTGTGCTTGCCCAACAAAGCAGTATTTGCTGTATTGTGCCCAATTCAAACAGGGTTGGTTAAATCTCCTCCAAATCAATGGCTGTGATAGTAATACTGTAAGTGTGTGCTGCCACCCATGGTTACCAGGTTATTTTACCTGGTACCCAGTCAGGCGCGCAGAAAGCAGTTTGGGATTGGGGGGGGGGGGGGCAAATATTCCAGGGGGCTCACCTTCCAAGGGCAATGACGTAATGAGAAAAAACGTTCAGAAGGGGGGGGGGGGGGGGGGGAGACGAAAAATCTGCATCACCACCAGTCTTACACGTTACATGCAGGTCACGCGGAACGTTTTTCAAAGTGGAGTATTAACGGTCAGGTAGAGCGTAAATTGGCGTGGGGTCCAGGGCATATGAGCCTCGGCAGGGGGTCAAGGGGCTGAGCCTCCAGAAGCTCAGAGGTTTTAATATTTAACTACGGTCAGATGAGCATCCAGGGGCCGCCCTAGGGCCCTTGGTGGGGTCCAGGGGGCAGAGCCCCCAGAAGCTCAGGGGTTTTAGGTATTTACTTATGGTGAGATGAGCATCCAGGGGCCTGTCTAATAGGGCCCTTGGTGGGGTCCAGGGGGCAGAGCCCCCGGAAGCTCAGGGGTTTTAGGTATTTAATTACGGTCAGATGAGCATCCAGGGGCCCGCCTTACGGCCCTTGGTGGGGTCCAGCGGGCATAACCCCGGAAGTTCGGGTTTTTTAGGTATTTAATTACGGTCAGATGAGCATTTTTTATACCTTATTTGTGACATTGGCAGGTCACTTTTTTTTTCTCTCCGTCTTTATTTCTTTTTCTCTTTAACATACTTTTTCAAAAAGTGAGGGGGGGGGGGGGGGGGGGGGGCTTGAGCCCAGCCACTTTGCAGACCATGACATAAAGGCTTCTAAATAAGCGTATTTTTCGCCCGACTGTAATCTGAGAATTTCTTATTTTCCAACAAACGCATAAACAGGTATGACTTACAAAAAAATGGAGAAAAATACCGGGAAATCATGTCATAACAGCAACATTTGTAAATCACTGGTATCGAATAAGAAATACCCCCCCCCCCCCATCAGTACGCCAGCGTTCAGGAGCTCATGTCTTCTCACCCCTATAACAAAACAAATAAACAGTCACGCTTTCCCATTCTCGCACAATATGTCCACGATATGCGCGTATCGCTATTATAAGCCGTATAGGTGGCATGCGCAATGCTTATGAAATTTAATTCCTGTGAACTTTCCTTTTCTTTGAATGGAATGGTATATGTGATTTAATTCAGGTTTTTATTATTGTTATGTTCTTTTGGTTAAAAATACAAACCATGTTTATTCCTTAACTGCTTTTTTTTTTTTTTTTGGAGGGGGGGGGGGCGTTTTTGGGGGGCAAAACTGCATTTACCCCCCCCCCCCACTTTTTTGAGTGGGGGATGGGGGGGGGGGCAAGGTCTGGAATGCCCCTCCCCTTCCTTTAAAACCAAATGTGCAAAAAAATGTGCCCTCCCCCTTCAAATTTCCAATCCAAAATGCATGTGAAAACTGTGCCTTCCCGCTTTTGATGAATTCTGGATATGCCCAAGCTGGTATCAAACCACAAAATATTGAGGTTATTGCAGGCAGTGAGGAGCAGTGTAATTAATATGATTTGACCTTGCTTTTCTGTTGAAAAACATGTTTACGGGAAACAGCTGGGAAAGTGTTGTAGCAAACCTGCCATAACTTTGGCATATGACATTGAATCTGAATGATCTTTACATTTTTGAAATGTGGAATAATCGGATTAGCTATATTACAATTCCTTTTTTGATAACGAAGGAAAATTGGGGACAAAAAAAACAAGAAACTTTGTATGAAAAAGAAAAATAAAAGTCTGAAATATAGCATTAAATCAAAAGGAAAATTCCTGTGAAATATCATTTTTATAAACCCATGCGTCTGGATATGTCTGGAAAAAATCCACCGGAATGCGTTTTTATACTTTTGATACGAGCACCGATCTACTGAGTGATGACGTCATGCTCAATAGTACAATCCCACATAAGCTAGTTTTTGTTGGAGCTGATCGGTATGCCTTGGGGCATAGATTGTAATGTTTGCAATGTTTGAATTAACCTCCAATTTTCTCCAAAACTTATAACAAATGTATATTACGGAAATAAAACTGAATTACACTGATTATCAACCTCATTGCTTTACTGTAAATCAGACAGAATACTGGTAACATGGCACTAAACATGTAAATTCTTGTGAATATCATCTGCAGCAGTACCATGTAGTGCTACAGCGAGCTCATGCCTCTGTGTGTGTCCATGCCAAGCTTGGCTTGTTTACGTAATTTTGTGTCAATGCGCATGCGTGAGTCTGTGAACTGGCAATGACGTCACTTTTCTCCTACACTGCTCCTAGAAGGTTTTCAATTTCTGAAAAATAACCCATTCATTTTCCATTGTATCTCCAAAAGTAAGTCATGATATAAAAAAAATACAATTTTTCATACGTCCTTCGATATGACCATTTTACATTATTCCATTTCTCTCCTACGTATGGACTTGCAAAAGTAGATTAATGTTGTGCCAAAGGACATTAGAGCTGTGTCAGAGATCAGATGAACAGACTTTGCAATTCCAGTCTAATGTTATACCCCTTGACTACAACACCTCTACATGATGAATTTAATCTAACTTTTAGTTTTGTATGGAAACAATCTTCCCCCAGATAATTTTGTTTAAGCAAATCAGAATTGACAGTGAAACATAATTCATCCGCTCCCCCCCCCCCTCCCCCAAGGATAATAATTATGTTATACCTGAAAATGCAACCATTCCAGCATATCACCTCTTTCTCTAAATACAAAATCTTAATTTTTCAATTTATTTCCAGCTGGCGGTGCAACACAAACATTCCCAGCATACCAAATCCAGACCCAGCAGCAACAAGGTGGCGTGGTTGGGTACCCACCCATCATCATCCAACCAGGTGCTCAGTCCAATGCCCAGCAATCACGCATCATGACCACACCCCAGGGTGTGGTGCTACCCCAAGGGACAATACGAGTGCAATCCAGCGGAGATCAGGTCAGTCGTTATTTCTTCCCTCCATTAACCCCTACTTCTTTCCTGTTTCTCTTATAAAAGAAAACCTCGCCTGAAAAAAAGATTCCTTGTTTACAGTATGAAGGCGCCTTTGTGAGTTCTAACAACTTGTCTTCTCCTCTTGAACATGGCACCTTGGTGAGTTAAGCAAGTCCAAGTAAATAAGATTCCATATATGAATGTAGAAACATATCATCACAGGCGTAGCAGAAGAAAAAAAAAAAGCATCACCATCACTCTTACATGCAGGCCTCACTGAACGTTTTTCAAAGTGGGTTGGGGAGGCTACAGTATTTACGATCAGGTAGAGTTTAGCATAAATTGGCACGAGGTCAAGAGGCGAAGCCCCCGGAAGCAGGGGGTAAGGGCATTTAATTACGGTCAGACGAGCATATTTTTATACCTCATGACTCTGGCAGGTCACTAATTGGTGTTGGACCAGGTGAATGAGTCCCATGGATTTGAGGAATTTTATAATGGTAAGATGAGCATTCAGGGGCCCACCTTAGGGCCTCTGGTGGGGTCAATGGGGCAGAGCCCTGGAAGCTCAGGGGCTTTAGGCAATTAGTTACCGTCAGATGAGCATATTTTGTTACCTTATTTGTGACACTGTCAGGACCCTAATTGGCATGTGATCCAGGGGGCGGAGCTCCCAGAAGCTCTGAGGTTTTAGGCATTTTATTACCGTCACATGAGCATCTAGGGGGCAGAGCCCCCGGAATCTCAGGGGTTTTAGGCATTTAATTACTGTCAGATAAGCATATTTTGATACCTTATTTTTGACACTGGCAGGTCACTAATTGGTATGGAGTCCAGGGGGCGGCTCTGGGTTTTAGGCATTAAATTACGGTCAGATGAGCATCCAGGGGCTGAGCCCCCCCCCCCGAAGCCCAGGGGTTTTAGGCGTTTAATTATGGTTTGATGACCATATATTGAAACCTTATTTTTGACACTGGCAGGACACTAATTGGTGTGGGGTCCAGCATGTAGGCTTCTAAATAAGCATATTTCTTACCTAACCGTAAATTTCGGAATTTCTCATTTTCCAACATAATGCATTCAAAAAGTATAATTTACTAAAAAGTGGGAACAAATCCAGGGAAATTATGTTATTTCAGCAACATTTGTAAATCACTGGTATTGAATTAGATTTTTTTTTTTTTTTTTTTGGTGGGCAACTGCACCCAAGCCCCCCCCCCCCCATCCGTACGTCAGTGTGTGTGGGTGGTGGCGCACACATGTAGTTGTCTGGGGGGGGGGGGGTGGATATACAAATCCTACATGAAGCATGAGGTACTGCATTCACTGCCCCCCCCCCCTCCCTCCCCCCTGTCTACGCCTGCACATCATAAGGACATAGCGCCAGTAAACCTTGTTTGGCTAAGTGGTATGAAAACGAATTTTAATTCACCAATAGCACTAACAGTTATGCCTTTTGCATATGCATCCTTTCTGCCTCAACATTTGAATACTTGAGCTAGAGACCGTTATTTTGTGCAGGTATATATCTTTAATTATGATAATGATATTGATGATTTAGGAGTTCAATTACCATAGCACTTACACAATTATGGAATATGAAGAGAAACATGGATTGGAATACAAAGGCCCGTAAAATGGGTTAATCACATAATGTTACTGAGGGAACAAGTTTGCTTTAAAAAATCTTTTGAAAGAGGTGAGACAGATTGATTCTCTGATGGAAAGTGAGACGGCTATCGTAGAATGTACAATTTGGGAATAATTAGTCTATATTTGCCAGTTGTTGAGCATGTCATGAAGATATTCAGGTGCCTTATGAATTAAAATTTTGAAGACGTACAAGCAGACCTTAAAAAATGATGCATTTCATCCCCATTTGCCTTTCATTCACTCATTAAATGGTTTTATTTCCTGCGAAGGCATTTTCTTGTGCTTTTATGGTAGTTGACCATAGTGTGACCAAAATTTTATTGGGTTTGAGCCATTGAGTCACATTGCTTCCTACTTCCCCCTGTAATTCGTTTTCTTAAGTGGGATTATCAAATTACATGTATGTGAGGGCTAGAAAATTGATAGCTTTGTAGTTCAGGATGATGAGATGTTATTTTGAGTACTTGCTAAGTTTCAGATTATCTTTATCTAGCATTGAAGTCACTACTCTAGCACCATTTTCCGTCATCTGAACAATGTTACCAAGTCCCTTTAAGATTCTTCTTGATAGTTGAAATTTTTGAAATCTTGTTTAAAACAGAAATCATCTGGCATTAGATTTAGATGGATTACAAACTTTGTTAGAAATCAGAGTAAAAGAAAAATATGTGTTCTGTGTGTATCGTGCTGGATATTAGATGCATTGGGTAAAGCTTGTTTCAGTTTTCCTAGCATATAACAACAGCCATTGTTTGCAAGAAACAGTTGCTTAATGTAGAGATGGTTGATCCATGCTTTTCATGTTATGTTATGTTACCTCTTGTAAAAGTGTCATTATAATGTCAGTATGCTTCAGATACACATGGCAAAGAATGAATTCAACCTTCTACAACAACCAGGCTCATTCTCCAGTATTCTGTTGAGAGCAATCCAACACCTTTCATTTCCCAAAGGGTTTGTTGGATCGTGTTTGTGATACTTCCCAAGAGACGGACAGATAATAGATTTCAATTTTTGATAAAGTTCAGAGTATACTGTATGTATATAATATCATCAGTAAAAAGTGAAAATCGAATTTGTCGAGACAAATTACTCTGCTTTTGCATCATCAGGCAATGTCTGCGTTGATGTCGGCGATTGCTCTTAAGGGGTTGTGATGTGTGTTTAAAATTTTTTCTTTTAAATACTTTCTAAAATCTCCTTGATTTCTCTATGTAGAAATGATATATTAAAACAAGATTTCTTTTCCCATTTTCTTTCCAACAGCCGTCAATAGTGCAAGTAGATGGTGCTAACGATTCATCAGATGATGATGACGATGAATTTGATGATGACGACGATGATGACAAGGATGACGACGACGATGATGATGACAAAGAAAATGATGATGCTGCTGGTGAAGATGAGGAGGTAAAGTAAATTGCGTTGGCACCTATGATCTGTTGCATATTTATATGTCATGTGTAGGACTCTGTTGAATTCTTGCATCTCTCCAAAAATTGAGGGAAAATTGTAACTGAATATCTTCAGCTTCAAAGGAAATCTTGCCTATTCATCTACAAGATTCTCCACCAAAGTGTATGGGAGAGGTATAAAGCAAGAATAGTGAACAATTTTTCAGCACGACGCGGGTTTCACCACTTCTTTTTGAAGCCATTTATCAAATTTATGGACTTGTCAACTGCTATATTTTAGTATTTGTATTATGTAAATATTTTAATGGGTTACGATTGTTCCTCTGTTATATATTTTTCACCAATTCTTTTTCCCTCACTGATAAGTAAAGGTTTTGTTATTGAATTAAAAATTCTAAAGCTTGGTGCATGATACATGTACACCTTTGCCTGGTACGTCACATTATCAAGATAATGGCTGTGGCCATGTCATGCTAAAAGGCATTATTTTGCCCTTCTGCCACCCGGCCGACGATATTGGTAAATTGAAAAGAGATATGTCTTTCATCTGTTTTATTTCTCAGGACCCTCTCAACTCGGCTGACGACGTTAGTGACGAGGATCCAGCTGATCTCTTTGAATCAGAAAATGTTGTAGTATGTCAGTATGATAAGGTAAGAAATGGAAAGATCTGATAATAGCTAATGTAAGGACATGCATGGACAATTTTCAGGACAACTGCCACTTGACTAGCAGGTTCCTGTTAGTATGGGTGTTTTATGAACTGAAAGCTTCATGATCTATTAAAAGTTGTTCAGACAAAAATGGAAATTTACACTATCATCACTTGTGAGTGGGGAAGGTTTACAAGAATCAAAAGAAAGAACAAATGAAGAAAAATTGAAGGAAAAGAGTGCATGTAGGCACCCATACCATCAAGAGAAAGAAAAAACAAAGGTGGGCAGGGGGGGGGGGGGGGGGTACCTCTCCCCTTCTTGGTTTGCCTAAGTCGGAAACTGATGGACTGTCGAAAAATGTGGACTACACATGATTTTTATCCCAAAATTCTCCCTACTCCAAGATTTTAAATAAGTCAAAGCAAGGTTATGTTGGAAAAAAGATCCCTTCAAATTTGATTGTGGCAATCAAATTATTAGTTATAAGTTTGCAATTAAAGTCATTCCATATATTACAGAAAAAACTGAATTTACAGATGTGCAGTTGTAAAAATCCTAAATCTATGTATTTTCATGATCAATATTATTGAATGGAATATTTATTCATTTAAAAAATAATGAAACAGTAAAATTTCATACCTCTAAAAGGACAATTGTTGTTTACCATTAAACTATTACAGTCTAACTTTTTCAAAACTACTTTTCTTTTCTGACTATTATAGAAAGAGGTCTCTGTTCTTCTTTTTTCTGACCCTGGCTCCTTTTTTTTCTCACTCTCTCTCTCTCACTCTCTCCCTCTCTCTCTCTCTCTCTCTCCCCCCTCCTATTCTCTTTCTCTCTCTTTCTCTCTCTCTCTCTCCCCCTATGGCCATCATGTCTGGATTTTTTTCACCAGTTCCAATATTAGTCAAATAAGTTGAACAAACATGTAGATAATTTCAATTTTCAATTTCAATTTTATTTTTGATTTTCGATTCCTTGCAGCTCCCTCTTTCTATTTTCTATCCCTGGCTTCTTTCTTTGCTCACTCCTTCTCTTTCTCTCTCTCTCTATGGCCATCATGTCTGTTTTTTCACCAGTTCCAAATAATAGTCAAATAAGTTGAACAAACATGTAGATACTTTCAATTTCAATGTATTTATTTGTCCAATGTACGTTCCACATGGATATTTGTTTCGCTCACATGTAAAATAAAAGTTCAGATCAAGTTAACAAAGAGCTGAAATATACAAAACAAGGATACATTTTGGTGATGACAAAATTATAGTCATACGTAATAATGATTCTCATTTGGTTATGGCTTGTTTTATTTCCTTCATTTACATAATTTCACTGTCCTCATGCATATTCATGAATTTTTAAACTTATTAAAATTGAAGTACCTCAAAAAATCAGTGATCTTCTCCCTGATTTGAGGAACTCATAAAAAGGATGATTGGCTTTTGGATGATTATCTTTTTACAATCTTCCCCCAAGCCCGCTTTACGCTACTGATTTTGTTCTGCATGTTTGGCTATTTTTTCTAGTTTTGCAAGATCTCCTGCAAACCATACAATAGAACTTAATAAAATAACACTCTGTACTATCCAAACATAAAACAAACTCAAAATCGTCCTATCCACATGGAATAAATTTTATGCTTACTCACAGGTTTCATGTAATAATTCATGAATGTAGTTTGTTCTTCATGTATTTTATTCTATCAGAAGTTATATCACTAATTATCACACCATATTCTGTTTTTAACCGACGATCAATTACTACCCTCTACTTATGTTGTTTCTTCTTTATTCCTCCTCTTCCCTTCCCTTTTTATCTCTCTTCCTAATCATCTTCTGCAGATCAATCGGAATAGAAATAAGTGGAAGTTTACTTTGAAACATGGCATCATGAACCTGAAGGGGAAAGACTACGTTTTCAACAAATCGACGGGGGATGCAGACTGGTAGGATCCCGACTGGTAGGATCCACGAATGGTGCCATCAAGGTCAGCTATTAGCCAATCTTCTTGCAAAAGAAAAGTTTGTAGGAATGGGGGTGCATACCAACTCTTTTATGTTCCATAAAGGTGGTACAGGAAGGCTCTAGGTCTGGATGTTTTCCATGTCAACATGCCACTGCAGGTCATTGATTCTATGAGTTACTTGAAAATTTTCCTACTCCCCCTGTCTGAGCATCTCTTGTTCCTTGGTGCTGTTGAAAGAATATCCTGGCATTTCCTACTGTGGTTTAAAAAAAATAAAGAATTGTGTCATGTATGTTCCCCAAGAGGCAAACATACACATTTCCTTGTCTTTGTTTGTCACACATATTTTTGACCCCCCCCCCCCCCCCCACTTACATAAAATATCATTGGTATGGTGAAACGATGTCAAAATGATATTGTAACATTTTAATTCATAATGATGGTGCTATGATGTTGTCAACCTCATACCTCTATGGTTACAAATGGCGCATCCATGCTTAGAAAGACCAGCAAAAATGACACATTGGTCTCAGAAGCTTCAACAATTACCAAGGGCAAGGATTGGCTTATATATATTTTATAAATATGTTCATTTTATTTTCTACTGATTTATTTTTATGATAATATTGGAAACAAAGTGCATTATTTATAGGGTGAGAGAGCAGAAATGGTATAGAAATGAACAGGGAAGTGGAAAAAGAAGCTAATATTAAATAATTTAAGTAATATTATTGACATGTCTCACATTTGCCATTGATTTATGTAAATTGGACATTGATTCCTTCCAAAATTGTATATTTTGGACTTCTTAGTCACAGCTAGTCACAAATGGACCTAAAATTGAGTTGTTCCATTATTAGTAGGTCTCTTGTCTTTCTATATTCTTTTCAGTGGCCCAGACATATTTCAGTGAATATTTTGCTACTATATTTATTTTCTGTTTAACAGAAAATTAGAGGACCTGACGGGTAGAAGTTTGAAGTTAACTTTTGAAATGTGTAATCACGATACATGTACATGTGAGGACTGCGACAACCCACAAAATGATTGAAATTTATAATCTGGAGGTATTTACTTTTCAAAGGACCTATGCTATCCATAATTCATTTTGTGCTGTTCCCCATAATAATGACATTTTGTCCAGCATGACTACGTCACAATCCATTGACCATATTGCCAATTTGTGATTTGCAAAGAATTAGTGATCTCATATTTCAAAGACAAATTTTGAACCTTTGCTATTCTGTTTCTCTTATATTTCTGCTTTCATGCAAACAAAGCAACTCATTGAAACAGCTTTCAAATTAAAGCCCTCAGCTCTCAATTAACAAAAGAAAAGTAATGCAGTCCCGCTTAAATTTCCCTGGTATAGGGATGGTGTGCGTAATATGTTTTCAGGTTCCAGTATTGTAAGTGATGGCTTACTACAGTATCCATAGTGACTATTTTGAAAGGGCATTTAATACATATTTTTGTGCTTGATGCTTTTTTTGTGCCTGCAAATCACTGCCAAATGGGAACAACTCGAAAGTATCTTTTTCATTGACCAGTCAGAGAGGCTGTTCACACCGCAATGAGATAGCGCTGTCTTTTTTCTAGTGTGCGCTAGACCGCACTCTCTCTCGTGGACCACCCCCAAGAGGTGCTCCAGTGGCACGCCGTGGCTCGCTGTTGGGCGAACCGAAACGATGTTGTTCCTCCCACACCGCTATCTCTGCCGGTGTGAACAGCCTCGGAGACTACCATTGTGGGTTAGTGTTCTGCCAGTAATGTGAATGCAGGGTCTGAATTGTTGAGTTGTAGACTTCACATGTACCTCGATTTGTGGCAGGTCATGTTAAAAAATGTTAACCTGGGAGTCATTTCACAAACATCCCATTGATTCCAATGGGTTGCCTTGGCTGACGATAATCAACACTTTAAAGGCAAAGTCCACTCCAAAAATAACTTAATTTCAATAGAAGCAGAAAAATCAGACAAACCAATCTAACTAATAAGAAAGTTATGAATTTTTAATGACATGAAAAACTTACAACTCACTCATGTCCTCACTATCCACTGTATATTGATAATATTAATAGTATTATGTTTTTGTGTGGATGCACTAATATAGAGTAATTTTTTCCAGTTACATCATGACAAATTTGAATTTGGATACACTATTCATATAAAAATCATTTTTTATGAATATTCAGAAAATAGTATAAATTCTTCAAAGTTCATACAAGATTTTGTGAAATGTCATGCATATAATATGATAAAAAGGGAAATTAATGGGATTAAACTATTTAAAGCAATTGATAAATAGTGAGGACATGACGTCACAAACTGATAACCATATTGGCAATTTGTGTCGTGATTCTCATCGTTCTTATTAGTTATCCGATTTTTGCTCAAACTTTTTTTGATTGGTTTGGCTGCTTTTATTGAAAGTAAGATATTTTTGGTGTGGACTTCCCCTTAACAAAAAATCTGCTATAGCTTTTTTTTGTAGCTTTCTTTGTTACAAAGTGACACATGTTTTGTTTTGTACATTATTCTGTGGCAGGATTCCACTTCTTGATTGATCACTGAACAAAATTGTGTTACATTTTGAATGTCATATTGATTTGAATGGCTTTAATGTTTTGTATGTTCTCTCTTTTCCAAGATGGAAGTAAAGTTTGATAACTGTATGGAAAACAGTGCTCTTATCAAAACAAGAATAAAAGAATGAAATGTGCTCACTCCTTATCATGGTAGCTCGGCTAAAAGCTGGGGTAATAGAATTATTATAATTGTTATTTTATCGTTATTACAACAATAGTTGGAACAACTTGCATACTTCCAACTCGATTTAATCATGTTACTCATATTGTACCGGGCAAACACAATGTCATGTTAGAAATCTACGTTTTGGCACAATAAGTTTTGGTTTATAAATCTAACATGCCCAAGGGTGTTTTGATTGTTTTAAAGGTACCGAGTGTGGGTAATTTTTATGTGTACGCTCTCAACCAATTATTATGATTATGATCCGCTTCATCATCTTATAAAACATTGTAATAACGTGTTAAAACGGCTTGCCATAGACACGCCGATGTCGTCCACAAAAAAAAGATTTATGGATTTAGCTATCACCAAGGCATACATGTACATTTGAATATTCTATCTCTCGAAAATACTGCATTTAAGAATATATCAAGTTCTTCATAGTTCTTTATGGCAAACTTAGTATACAAATAATACACATCAGTGAGGGTATTAGTAAGAATTACCCAAACAACAGTCTAACGCTTTCAATTAGTGACTTCTGTGGAGAATCTCTCTGTTTTAATTTATTTACATTCCTCACATTCCTCACATTGTGTGTTTCACATACTTTATTTGGGAAATCCACCCTGATAATTTTGATCTCGGATCAGTTTGATCTCGGATCAGCTTCCATTATATTGACCTAAATATCAGGATGGTGAGTATTTATAATTGAAGGCTTTCAGTAACACCATGTGGCAGCCTTACTAAAAAGCTTTCAATTATGAATATTACTAGGTTATGGAACCAATTGCATTCTCAGATTAATACCCATTAATATCAGTCCTGAAATTATCTTTTATTTTTAAGTGCCTGTTTCAGTGAAGTTGATTGTTCTTGTACTAGTTTGTGACTAGTTCATATTGATCCAGGGGTGGATGTTGATTCGGCGGTAAATATTTTCTAACAAATTGGGCTCCCTCCCTAACCTGGAAGGGGGAGGAGGTTTAAGATGGTTACGTTTTGTGTCCACGGTCATTATTATGTCCAACCTAAGTGTATAATTTTTGTTGCAATTGATGTATATGTCTGTATTACAATTTTTGTCTAAAACTACTGTGTACATAGTAATTTCATGTCAAAAATAAAATATTTACGTGTGTTTATTTAAAGCTGTTAGATTTGCCATTTTGTACTGCCTTTCTTTTTGACATATCCTCATGTAGGAATATTTTAGAATCTTCCAACATTTGCCCCAACATCTTTTTTTTTGTTGGAACAAAAAGTAGTCATTTTCATTCTAAAAGGATGTTCGGACTATCATGACGAGAAAATGGAAAGGATTGAAAATTTTCATTTTGGGCCTTGCCATTTTTTTCTTGAAAAAGGGGCGGTTTTCAAAATTTCCGATATTTGTCCTAACATCCTTTTTTTGGAGCAAAGGAGAGTCATAATCATTCTTAGGGGATTTCGGACTATCATGATGAGAAAATGGAGAGGATTGGAAATTTTCATTTTTTGGCCAAAACGATGAGCTAACCCCTTGCCATTTTTTCGAAAAAAGGGGCGGTTTTCGAAAGTTCCGATATTTGCCCTAACATCCTTTTTTTGGAACAAAGGAGAGTCATAATCATTCTTAGGGGATTTCGGACTATCATGATGAGAAAATGGAGAGGATTGAAAATTTTCATTTTTTGGCCAAAACGATGAACTAACCCCTTGGTATTTTTTCGAAAAAGGGGCGGTTTTCGAAAGTTCCGATATTTGCCCTAACATCTTTTTTTTTTTAAAACGAGAGTCATAATATGTCAGTGGGCATGTTGGGACTATAATAGAGAGAAAATGGAGAGGATTGCAAATTTTCATTTTTTGGCCAAAATGATGAGCTAACCCCTTGCCATTTTTTCAAAAAAAGGGGCGGTTTTCAAAATTTCCGATATTTGCCCTAATATCCTTTTTTTGGAACAAAGGAGAGTCATAATCATTCTGAGGGGATTTTGGACTATCATGATGAGAAAATGGAGAGGATTGGAAATTTTCATTTTTTGGCCAAAACGATGAGCTAACCCCTTGCCATTTTTTCGAAAAAGGGGCGGTTTTCGAAAGTTCCGATATTTGCCCTAACATCCTTTTTTTGGAACAAAGGAGAGTCATAATCATTCTGAGGGAATTTTGGACTATCATGATGAGAAAATGGAGAGGATTGGAAATTTTCATTTTTTGGCCAAAACGATGAGCTTACCCCTTGCCATTTTTTCGAAAAACGGGCGGTTTTTGAAAGTTCCGATAATTGCCCTAACATCTTTTTTTTTTTACAAACGAGAGTCATAATATGTCAGTGGGCATGTTGGGACTATAATAGAGAGAAAATGGAGAGGATTGCAAATTTTCATTTTTTGGCCAAAACGATGAGCTAACCCCTTGCCATTTTTTCGAAAAAGGGGCGGTTTTCGAAAGTTCCGATATTTGCCCTAACATCCTTTTTTTGGAACAAAGGAGAGTCATAATCATTCTAAGGGATTTTGGACTATCATGATGAGAAAATGGAGAGGATTGGAAATTTTCATTTTTTGGCCAAAACGATGAGCTAACCCCTTGCCATTTTTTCGAAAAAAGGGGCGGTTTTCGAAAGTTCCGATATTTGCCCTAACATCCTTTTTTTGGAACAAAGGAGAGTCATAATCATTCTTAGGGGATTTCGGACTATCATGATGAGAAAATGGAGAGGATTGAAAATTTTCATTTTTTGGCCAAAACGATGAACTAACCCCTTGGTATTTTTTTCGAAAAAGGGGCGGTTTTCGAAAGTTCCGATATTTGCCCTAACATCTTTTTTTTTTAAAAACGAGAGTCATAATTTGTCAGTGGGCATGTTGGGACTATAATAGAGAGAAAATGGAGAGGATTGCAAATTTTCATTTTTTGGCCAAAATGATGAGCTAACCCCTTGCCATTTTTTCAAAAAAAGGGGCGGTTTTCAAAATTTCCGATATTTGCCCTAATATCCTTTTTTTGGAACAAAGGAGAGTCATAATCATTCTGAGGGGATTTTGGACTATCATGATGAGAAAATGGAGAGGATTGGAAATTTTCATTTTTTGGCCAAAACGATGAGCTAACCCCTTGCCATTTTTTCGAAAAAGGGGCGGTTTTCGAAAGTTCCGATATTTGCCCTAACATCCTTTTTTTGGAACAAAGGAGAGTCATAATCATTCTGAGGGAATTTTGGACTATCATGATGAGAAAATGGAGAGGATTGGAAATTTTCATTTTTTGGCCAAAACGATGAGCTTACCCCTTGCCATTTTTTCGAAAAAGGGGCGGTTTTTGAAAGTTCCGATAATTGCCCTAACATCTTTTTTTTTTACAAACGAGAGTCATAATATGTCAGTGGGCATGTTGGGACTATAATAGAGAGAAAATGGAGAGGATTGCAAATTTTCATTTTTTGGCCAAAACGATGAGCTAACCCCTTGCCATTTTTTCGAAAAAGGGGCGGTTTTCGAAAGTTCCGATATTTGCCCTAACATCCTTTTTTTGGAGCAAAGTAGAGTCATAATCATTATTAGGGGATTTCGGACTATCATGATGAGAAAATGGAGAGGATTGGAAATTTTCATTTTTTGGCCAAAAAGATGAGCTAACCCCTTGCCATTTTTTTCGAAAAAGGGGCGGTTTTCGAAAGTTCCGATATTTGCCCTAACATCCTTTTTTTGGAACAAAGGAGAGTCATAATCATTCTGAGGGGATTTTGGACTATCATGATGAGAAAATGGAGAGGATTGGAAATTTTCATTTTTTGGCCAAAACGATGAGCTAACCCCTTGCCATTTTTTCGAAAAAAGGGGCGGTTTTCGAAAGTTCCGATATTTGCCCTAACATCCTTTTTTTGGAACAAAGGAGAGTCATAATCATTCTTAGGGGATTTTGGACTATCATGATGAGAAAATGGAGAGGATTGAAAATTTTCATTTTTTGGCCAAAACGATGAACTAACCCCTTGGTATTTTTTCGAAAAAGGGGCGGTTTTCGAAAGTTCCGATATTTGCCCTAACATCTTTTTTTTTTAAAAACGAGAGTCATAATATGTCAGTGGGCATGTTGGGACTATAATAGAGAGAAAATGGAGAGGATTGCAAATTTTCATTTTTTGGCCAAAATGATGAGCTAACCCCTTGCCATTTTTTCAAAAAAAGGGGCGGTTTTCAAAATTTCCGATATTTGCCCTAATATCCTTTTTTTGGAACAAAGGAG